ATTACATCAGACTCGGCTGTGACTTTCTCTCCCCCCCCCCCCCCCCACACACACACACACAGAGAAATACAGACAGAGACACATCCCCCTCCCACCTGCCCGCACCATCTAGGCTTATAGGTGTAGAGCAACATCTCAGGCAGGGGGAGTGGTGGGGGGGGAAGAGCCTGAGATACCAGAAAGCGACCACAGAACCGCTCTTGAATTTTTCCAGGACGAGGAGTGGGGAACGTGGGACCGAAAGGAAGAGAGAGAAAAAAAAAACAGGGACTCAAGCCGTTGAGACGTCTCAAAGCGCTTCGCAGAATACACTGTAAAGTGGAGTGACCGCCCGCAGGGAAAGGGATGCGCTGAGCTCTCCCCCCGCCTCCGCCCTCCCCCCACCATCTCTATCGCTCCGGCCCGAATCTACGGAGCGCAGCCCGTGAGCAAAATCAGCTGTCAACAGCCCTGGACGAGATCAGAGGCGGAGGGAGAAGTAACAGGACTCTCTCTCCTCCTCCTCCCACCCCACTCCCCGCGTTCCCTTCATCCACCAACCAAAAAGCTTTGATAATGTCGGAGCCGGTTTGTTCCCACAGTAATTTAGGAAGTACGAATTAAATTCAAACCCAGGCACATGGTGGTGAGAGACCCATAATCACAAGACTTCCCCCCCCACCCCCCCACCCACCCCCCTCCCGCGGCTATTAGCAGACAGTAACCCGAACCTTCCTGAAATCTCGCAGCGACTTTCAGCAGAGCTGGCAAACAAGGTCAGGTGCCTGATGCTATATTCAGCCGCTGATCTGTTAAGACCGCCAGCATCATCCCCTCCCTCCCTCCCTCCCTCCCTCCCTCCCTCCCGCTAACTCGGGCTCATTAAAAAAAGAACCACCCATCAGATGTGGATTTCAAAGGCTCGGCTCACGCGCTGGGGCCAAACACCCCGTCGCCGATCGTGTTGATAATAACTATAACAGTCCTCGCATTTCCTGCAGCGCCTTGTGTCGTGTCGTTGAGACGCCTCAAAGGACCCGCTGCACAGTGGAGTGACTGTGCGTTTGGTGGGCGAAACTCGGCAGCTGATTGCGTCCGGCGGGATCGCACGAACGGCCTTGGGTCGAATGATTATTTTTTTCAAAAAGAAATAAAGGGACTATTAACCCCGGAAAAGGGATCCGCCAATCGACTAACAACCGGGTTCCTACTTCCTGCTACAAGAGGTGCGTGGGGTAAGGAAACTTAGGTTCCCCCTTCCCCCGGAATCGAACCCAGGTCCTCTCTCTCTCTCTCTCTCTCTCGAGGCGAGACGGTTGTCTTTACCGGATCTGTATCAAATGCTGCCCCTTTTCGTGCCCCCTCCAAAAAAATAAAACGATTGAAACGCGAGGCTGATTGGGTGGCTCGCTGCAGCGGGGATGTGAGGGATTCGGGTGATTCAGCCCAACCTTCCCCAAACGGGAACAAGTATCAGCTGCGGCTCCTCGGAGCCCCGCGTCACCAGGCTTCACACACAGGCAGGGCATTCCCGCATCCAATAACACCCGTTTGGAGGCCACCGGCTAACGTACCTACAGATCAGACGAGTTACAACAGGGCAGCTCTAGTGGGAGCCTCTCCTCCGCTCTGTAAATCATCCGCCCACTGCTGTGAGCAATCGGCTGCCGCGTTCCACCCACCAAAGACGGTCACTTCGCTTTACAGTGCGTCCCGTGAAGCGGGAGACGGCTCAACGGTGTGATAAGGCATTGTGTCAAATGCAAGGATTATTAATAATAATAATTACACCAGGCATTTGCCAACTAAACAATTCGTAAGCTCCCCGTAAATTGCTCGCCCCGTCACCCCCCCGAGACAGAAGGTTGTGGGTTCAAGCCCCAAGTTTGGACTTCGAGCTGACACTCCAACACTGTGTTGGGTGCGCACTGCTTTATCGGCGGCTGCTGCCCTTTGGACGAGGCGATAGACCAAGGCGGGCGTCAAAGATCCCACGGTACATCCCAAAAAGAGAAGGGAGGGGGGTTTCTCTCTTCACCCCCCACCCACCCCTGGTGTCTTGGCCAACAACCCCCTCCCACCTCCCAGATAAAATCGGTCACTCACTTCATGGCTGTTTTGCCAGACAGTGCTGTGCGCAAATGGGCTGCTGTGTTTGCCTACGAAAACAAAGTCATCACACTTCACAGTAAAATCCTGCGAAGCAGTGCGAGACGTCTCAGAGACGTGATAAAGCGCCAGATCCAACGCAAGGATTAATTTTTAATACGGCCCCTTGCGAGCCTGGCTATCTTACAGCGCTCAGGGCGTTATTTCTTTCTCCCGCCCTCCCTCGCTGCATACGTTTGACTCAATGACTCTCCCGTCTCGACGGCACACGAACCGAGCGAACACTCGCCACTCGCAGCGAGGATCACCCTGAACCCATTGCGCCCGTTCCGACGAGCAAACAAACGTACTGATCAATGACATCAGCGCCGAGGGGGGGAAGCAGTCACGGCACAATTTCCCGCGCCACGCTTTCTGCCCCTGAAAACAGGGCAAGACGGGGCGGAGGGGGAGAGACGGTGCGTCGTAGGAAGTGCCGCCCTTCGAGCGAGACGTTAAAACTGCCTGCCTGCCCTCGGGTAGGAGGCTGAAGATCCCACGGCGTCATTCTAAACGAAAAGGGAGTTTCCTCTGGCATCCTGGCCTTCAGATTATATCAGTCACTCAGCTCATGGCTGTTTTGTGAGGCCTCCTCGTGCATAAAATGGCAGCCGCCTTTGCCTACGAATTCAACCAATATTAATAGCAACAACAACAATAATAATCCTTGCGTTTGATATAGGGCCTCGTTACATCATTGGGACGCCTCCAGGCGCTTCACGGGATGTACTGTAAAGTGGATTGACTGGATTTTATTCACGGTCTATCACTGTACAGAAATGGGGGAGGGGGGGGGGGGGGGGAGAGGGAGAGAAAAGTTATTTATAGGCAGTGAACTCACATGGCACAGCCTGCACACGGCTCCTGCAATGTCAATGCCCCACTTCCTCTGGACTTTTATGACCGCTGCGTCCCACCGGGTTTATACTTGGGCTCAGCGCCGCCTCCCCATGGCCAGCGAGGGCAGACGGGAGTCGCACGTTCCCAGCCTCGCACCGAGCGGCCGAGCCCCGACAACGGTCAGCCTGCTCCGACGTTACCACCGCTCTCCCCACGAGCGGGTTTTTTAAATGGCCGGCTGCTCGGAAGACATCTCCGTATGGTTTGTTTCCCTTCCTGCTCCGCAAGGGCTGTGGCCGCGCACGGCTGAGTGTAAACGATGACGCACGTGTGTGTGTATGTGTGTGTGTGGTGGTGGTGGGGGGGGGGGGGGGGACGGGGAGTGTGGGAGGGAAGAAAAAGGTAGGAACCCAACTCACCGCTTAACCACGTCCTGTCCACCAACATACAATTGGTCACCCCCTCACACACATACACACGCGCGCGCGCGCGCGAATGCGCTAGTGAGAGATCGTAACAGAAACTCAAAGCCATCACAACAGAATAAAATGAAAGCTGACCCCCCCTCACCCGCTTCCTTCTCCCAGCGAGGCCCAAAAGCCAACACACCGCTCTGGGGAAAATAAAGCTACTCAAGCGACTCGACACCTCTGATGCGTCTGCTCACCGGCTCTCTCGGTTCCCCCAAACCAACTCGAATCCGCCCGGTTGCCAGAAATCGAACCAAAGAGAAAGAAGAAAAAAAAAAAGAAAAGCGGTCCCGCCCGCAAAATATACTTTTGTGGAAAGGAATTCGCTTGCGAGGATATCCTGCGAAGCTCTTCGAGACGTCTCAGCGTGATTGAGGCACGGCCTCGAATGCAACGATTATTATCGTTATACATATATATAGATATACACACAGTGCCGGGAGCGGGAAAGTCAGTCGGTCGCTGGTTTCACTTTTTCAGTCAACTGCCCCAAATGGCTAATTACACAGCCGCGCGCGCGCGTGTGTGGGTGTGTGGGTGGGTGTGTGGGTGGGTGGGTGTGGGGGGGTTGGGGGGAGAGAGAGAGAGAAGAAACATTGCATTGTAACAGAGACCCACAGGATGGTAAGGGGATTGATCCTCTGATGATCTCGGCCGGGCTGAGCTACACTGACCTAAAACATGGTTCAAACTTGATGTCAGGTCCCAGGTAGGAAAACCTGTGCGGTGCCAGTGATGAGAGCCGCGCGCGTGGGTGTGGGGGGGGGGGGGGGGGGTCCAAATAACTGACAGCTTTTATTGGGGGGGAGGGGTGGGGGGGAGAGAGAGGGGGAAGAAGAGGATTACAAAAAAAAATCCATTAAAAATTTAGAGTTGAGGTACAGCTCAGCCTATGACCTAATGGAATCGCGGAACAGGCTGTAGGGGCTGAATGGCCTCCTCCTGTTCCTATATATATATATATATATATATGAAAAAGCAGCAGAGCGATTCTGGGCGGTACAATGGAGACGGGTCCATTGCCATTGTGTGTGAGTGAGTGAGAGTGAGAGTGAGAGAGTGAGTGAGTGAGAGAGTGAGTGAGTGAGTGAGAGTGAGTGAGAGTGAGAGTGAGGCCTAAACTGGTGAAGAGATGGAGAGATGGAATGGGCAATGGGGAGGATTTTTTTTCCAATGCCGTGGGGGAGGGGGAGGGGGAGGGAGAGGGACTGCAGGGGCCGGGGGTTGGGGGGAGGGGGGGGGGGTGGGGGGTTGGGGTGGGGGGGAGGGGGGGGGGGGGGGAGGAGGGGACTCAGTAACGGGCCCTGTGGAGGGTAACAATGGTCCGGGACAGACTGGGCCCAGAGGGCAGAGAGAAGAAGAGGCAAAAGTGTCCGAGGACTCTCTCTCTCTCTGTGTCTCTCTCTCTCTTTGGGGCTTCATTCATTGATCAGAGAGAGAGAGCAGCAGAAGGGCAGAGAGAGGCCCCGACCCCCCCCACACCGGTCATCTCCCGACAGAGGGGACAGTGAAGGCGCCAACGAGACGACACAGACAGACAGACAGACGGACAGACGGACGTACCTTGAAGTACCCCCCCTCATAGTGGGTGTTGGGCGGCCCGAAGATGGCCACTTCCCAGTTGTAGAGGTCGGACTCGTCCACCAGAGTGATCTTGAAGCCCTCCACCGGCTCCTCCTGTAGACTCTTCAGCTCCAACATCAGCGCTTTCTGGGAGCTGCTGGTCTGCTGGTGAGCCATGGCGGCCGTCTGTCTGTCTGTCTGTCTGTCTGTGTCTGTCTGTCTGCCTTCCTGCCTTGCGAAGCGCTCGCTGTGCGGTGCGAAGAGGAGGAGGAGGAGGAGGTGGTGGCTGTTGTTGTTGTTGTTGTGGGGGTGTGGGGGAGGAGGAGGGGGGGAGAAGAGGAGAGGAGAGGGTCGGTGGGCGGCTACTGAACCAGGAAACGCCGAGGTCCCGCGGGGGGGGGGGGGGAAGGGGGAGATCGCTTAGGCCTCGGACTGAATACTGAGAGCTCGGTTAAAGGGGGGGGGGGGGGAGGGAGGGGGGAAATAAAGGGGGTGATGGGGGGTGGGGGTGGGGGGGGTATGGAGACAAGTAGTCGGGATTGAACGCCTGTAACGTGGGAGAGTGAGTCGGAAAGGGAGACGTTTGACTCGGAGCTGTTTGGCTGTGGGGGGGGGGGGGGCGGGGGGGGGAAGGGTGGGGGTAGGGGGGGGAGTGGGGGGAGAAGTGAGGGAAGGAGGGAGGGGGGGAAAGGAGGAAAAGCTGGAGGCCGACTGTAGGGGGAGAGGGGGGAGTGGGGGGTCGGGAGAAGCCGGAGTGAGTGGGTGTGTGAGTGAGTGGGTGGGGAGGACACAGTGTGGGGGGGGGGGGGTCGTGAGGGGAAGGGTGGGGGGAGTTTAACCCGGTGGGGGGGGAGGGGGGGAGAGGCGAGGCAGCGCTGACCGGGAGCCTCGCGCCGTGTGACTGACTCCCGATACACAGTGTGTCGAGAGCCACAGCAACAAATGTATCCAATCGGGACGCGCGCGCGCGCGCGGGTGGGGGTCCGCGGGGGGAGGAGGGGGGGGGGGGGGGGGTCGGGGGCGGTAGGGGAGGGGGGGGGGGAGGGGCTGAGGAGGGGCAACAAAGTATCAAATCACAGAGCAGCGGACAATGTGTCCAATCAGCGGCCGCCGCAACAAATGTATCAAACCATTAGAGCCGCCGCCGCCCCCCGCGGCCCAATCAGGCCGCCGCCCCCGCGGCCCAATCAGAGGCCGCCGCCGCCCGCAACCAATCAATCGGCGCCCCCTCCGACCCCTCCCCCCCCCTCCTCCGACCCCGCCCCCTCCACCCACCGTTCGCCAATCAGCGCCGAGCAGCCGCCGACAGCGCGGCCAATCAGAGCGGAGCTTCTCCCTTTTTTTTCCCCGCCCCCTCTCGGCCTATTCATGAGCAGCTGTTCAGCGGGAACCAATCAGAGGGGCGCGCGGGGGGAGGGGGCGGGGCGGCGCCGGGGGGTATTCTGGGAGTTGTAGTCTCCAAACTGCACATCACAGACTGAGCCGTTTTTTTGTGTGTCTGTGTGTGTGTGCTCTCTGTCTGTGTCTCTGTGTGTCTGGGTCTGTCTCTGTGTGTGTGTCTGTCTGTGTCTGTCTCTCTGTGTCTCTCTGTGTCTGGGTCTGTCTCTGTGTGTGTGTCTCTCTGTCTGGGTTCTGTGTGTCTGTCTCTCTCTCTGTCTCTCTCTGCCTGTGTCTGTCTCTCTGTCTGTGTTCTGTGTGTCTGTCTGTCTGTGTCTCTGTGTGTCTGTCTCTGTGTGTGTGTCTCTCTGTGTCTGTCTCTGTGTGTCCGTCTCTCTGTGTGTCTGTCTCTGTGTCTCTGTGTGTGTGTGTCTCTCTGTCTGTGTCTGTCTCTCTGTCTGTGTCTGTGTCTCTGCCTCTCTGCGCTCGGGGATATAAAGTGGATCAGTTATGCAACAACCACAACAAATGACATTTGTAAAGCACCTTTCACGTTGGGTGTCCCAAGCCGTCGAAGTACGCGCTATTCCACATCCATGACGCGTTGCTTATAATTCACTCAAGGTTGTTTGATGTGGAATGCCCCCCCCACCCCCCTCATGTTTTCCTGCTTTTAATGTCGCTGGTGAGACTGGCGAAGGAACACCGTCCCACCCCACCCACCCACTCACACACCTCCCTGAAACATCCAATGATTAGCAACCCCCGAATTTCAGGATTATAGGCATCTCTCCCTTAATAGAATGTGGTAATCTGGTTCACACGTTCTTTTTTTTGGGGGGTTGGGGATCAATAAAATAATAAGTATTACAATGCAGCAGCCAGCCTAACCCCCTCTCCGTCTATGGTTTAAACCCCGGCACGACATCACACTGACATTATGACCGCACAAAATTATCTCCCAGTCGAGTCATGCTGAACAAAATTCAGGATAGATTTCAGCAAATCGGCTCCTGTGACTTACACCCGAGACTGGGAGGAGGAGGCTCCTGTTTGGGTGACAGAGAAGATGCCACCTGTAGCGGAGTTGGTCCGGAGGCTGCCGACTGTATTGAATTGGATTTCCCATTTGTTTCCAGGTAGACGGCAATGGATTCGAGATCGGATAGCGTCCAGGCGCAATCGGGTTATGCAGAGAGTAATGGCTCGGTGGGGAGCGGACAGTTTAGAGGATCTGGTCCGGAGCAGCATGAGTCTGCAGAGTGGAGTCTCACTCCTCGGTGGGGGGAACCGCCTGGGGGGTGTGGGCCCGTCCGTGCAGAGAGATTCCCAGCAGCTCAGATCTGATGCAGGCAGCTGGAACACTATGTACAATTCCAGAGGACACCGGCTGGGCAATGCTCTGACGCCTTCACCATCGCCGTTATCATGGCCTCGGCGCAGGACCATGTCCTTCTCAGAGGCCTCGCTGACCTTAAGAGAGCTCCGCCATCGACCCCAACTTGGTCTGCACAGGGGCTATGGGCTGGGTTTCAGTGCTGCCATCGCAGAGTCCTCCCAGCGAGTGGAGAACCTCATAGAGGGAGCTTCCTGGTTGCCAAGGGATTGGATGAGACAATTGGTCCTGTTTGGGTGTCAATGGATGCTGTCGGGGTGGCAATGGTTGGCAGCAATCCTATTGGAACTGTGGGAGTGGCTTGATTGAACGCCCCCCAACCCCCACCCCGCTACCCCTCACCACCACCAGCCCAGTGGGTGCTAGGGGGGGGACATCACAAAGCGGTGGATTGAAGTATGTAGCAGAAAACGGGAAATGTTTATCTCAAAAGAAAAGTTTACTCAGTTAGTTGGTTACCGGAGGCAGAGAATGAATGCATCGCTCACTCACCAACAACAACAACAACAACTTGCACTTATGTCGCGCCCATCAAGCAGTGTAGCGTTTCGGTGCGCTTGACAGTGGCGGAGCACGACACTTTCTGTTTCAAGGACGTGGCCACAGGCACAGACACATTAGACATTAGCCCTGTGCTCCTGCTCCTCCCTGCCATCCGGAAGTCTCCTGAATCTCACTCCGCGCCAGCAACTCAGGAATTGGAGCCAAATTACTCGGGCTAAGCCTCCTTCGGAAGTATATTCCACTCAGGAGCAGGCTGCTGCTCGGCATTTGTTAAAAGAATCTACTGTGTATTTCTGGCTAAGCCACACAGATGGTTGAACACTACAACAACAAATTGGATTGATATAACACCCCTTGACACAGGGTAGCGTCCCAGAGCGCTTGGAGGATTCCAGATATCAGTGGAATACTGTGAGGACATCAGCAAAGCTCCCTATTCTGCACTATAATAAACTATTTTCTGTTATCTATGTCTGTGGCTTACATTGAGACAAAAAACATTTCATAAAATCAAAATGAATATTTAAAGATCTCAAGGATAAATATTTATCCTGAGTCCTCTAGAACCAAACGTAAGCACTGAATTCATCAGCTCAACCTTCCAACTATTCCAACCATGTGGAGGGGGGAGTGGAAGTGCGGGGGAGTGCAAGGGGGGGGGGGAACAGAGAAGGTAGCCTGGAGCAGAGGCAACGAACAGATATGTCATTTCCCTGAAGTCATGAAATGCAGACTCTGTTGTATTCTCTGCAGAAAGCTTTGAGCTGTCTCAGGAACATAAAACCGGACAGCTTTACTGAGCCCTAAGGTAATGAGAGATGACAGAGCAGGTCCAGTGAGGGTACTATCAGCTTTTCTACTGCCGCAGTTACAGGGCAACGTTCTGAACTGATTACAAAGGCTCTACAAGGAATAAAGGATCATTATTTGGATAATTACTTTTAATTCTTTCACATAACGTCAGGTAAGGAAATATGACACTTCAGTACACCAGGCTGGAGGTGATGGGACTTGGCGACTTATTGTGAATTGAAAACCGATGCAACTTCAGAGAGAGCTTATTGCACTTTTCATTTAATAATAATAATAATAATACTTGCATTTTATACAGCACCTTGGGACATCCTCCCGATGTGAAAGGCACTATACAAATATAATTTTGTTGTTGTTTGTTGTAGCACCTTATCACATCTTCGAGACGTCTCAAAGCGCTTCACAGAATGTACTGTAAAGTGAATTGACTCTGTATTTTTTGGGTGAAACCACAACATTCTAAGCCTTTCCTTTAAATCCCAAGGAATGGCTTGGAATCGTGGCACTAATGGACAAAGTGCTCTGGCTTTTGGCTGCCGTCTCAGCTCAGCCACCATTTTAATCATGTTGACTGCCGTCTCCACACAAGAACAAAAGGAATCAAACTGCAGACCTTGTAACACCTCAAAATGTTTCATTTGCAATTGCTGTCAAGTGTAATGTCTGTTCCTATTGAGGCTGCGCGCGGACTGTGCACTTGGCGGACAATTTACACACAAGGATGTGGGGTATAAATTGGAATTGGGGTGCACACTTTTAATTTGGAATTTGACCTCAATAAGTTATCACAACCTACCTTCCCCCCTTTGAGTGCAGACAGTGAGTACAACCAACTGGCCTTGAAGCGGGAGACATGCTTTGAAGCGGGAGAATTTAGAATCGCAGAACCCGCTGGACAGCGAAACGATCAGTCAAAATATTTTTTTTACTTTCTCGGTGAACAGGGAGGCCACCCTGTGAATAAACTCTTCCTTTGTGACCAAGGAGGCCACTTCGGATTTCCTAAGCCTCACGGCTTGTTCCATGGCCTTACCCAGTCTATCAGGCCCAAGCTTGGAGCCGGCTTCCAAGTAACTCATGGGCTTGGTGTAATCACTGATGCCCACGGCCTCTTTCAACGCTGCAATGACAGCTTCGCACACCGTCCTGTTCACCTTGCCCGATTCCGCCACCACCTCAAAGAGACCCTCGGATATCTTCAAGAAGTGCAGGAAGATGAAGCAGGTCAGCGTCCCGTGTCGGAAGACGTTGAAAGGCACGGCTTCGTAGGCCCGACACTGGAGTTTCTGGATCAGAGACGAGGATGGAGTGGTCTTGTCTTCACAGATCTGCTTCAAGAGCTGCGTATAGGCTTCTCCTGTCAGCCCAGACTTCTTCCTCTTCTGTACGGGGCAGCTCAGGATCTGATAGGCTACGGCTAGGTTGTTGTTGAAGGCAGGCCTGTTGTAGTGACAGAGCTGCAGCTGTTTCAAGGCTCTGGTGATCTGTTCCTGGAGAATTAGGAGGAAAAATTAGTGTTTCCATTACTTAAATCTTAAAATGATGGCGGCTCACTCACGCACATCGATCCTCTGCACATCTGCAACAACAACAACAACTTGGATTTATATAGCGCCCTCCACGCCGGACGGCGTCTCAGAGCGCGTTACAGTTTAGGGCGCGTTATAGTTTAGGATCCCGGGACCGAGCCGGGGGGGGGGGGGGAGGGGGGGAGGGAGGAAGGTGACCAAAGGCGCGGTCGAAAAGAAAGGTCTAAATCTAAATACAGTTTAATATACATTTCAGTACTTAATATAATTATCATCATTCTTCCATGTGTTCGGTTGCTTGACTCAGAAGCGAGAGGACCTGGGTTCGATTCCCCAACGGGATGAAACCTGAGGTAAGTTTCCTTACTCCACAGTCGCGCCTCTGTTTACCAGCGGTAACGGGGCACACGGTTGTTAGTCGATCGGTGGATCGCTTTTACCGGGGGGGGGTAATAAACCCTTCAAAATAATAATAATAATTATAATAAATTCAACCCCCGATTGTTTTGCGGGGACGTCGCTCGGCGCAATTGGCTGCCGCGCTTCGCCCACAAAAACACGCGGTCACTAGACTTTACAGTGCGTCCCGTGAAGAGCTTTGAGACGTCTCGAAGACCTTGACAAGGCGCTGGGTCAAGCGCAAGGATTATTATGATGATGATGTTGAGGATGATGATGGTGAGGATGATGATGGTGATGAAGGTAACGGTGAGGATGATGATGAGGTAATGATGGTGAGGATGATGATGAGGTGAGGATGATGATGGTGAGCATGATAGGGAGGTGATGATGGTGATGATGATGAGGTGAGGAAGATGATAATGAGATGATGATGGTGAGGAGGATGATGGGGTGAGAAAGATGATGATGAGGTGATGATGATGACGACGGTGACGATGATGACAGTGACGATGATGATGGTGGTGATGAGGTGATGATGATGGTGAGGATGATGATGCTGAGGATGAGGATGATGAGGTGAGGATGATGACGATGACGATGATGACGGTGAGGATGATGATGGTGACGATGATGGTGACGGTGACGATGATGATGATGACAGTGAGGATGATGATGATGAGGTGATGATGATGACGGTGAGGATGATGATGATGATGGTGAGGATGATGATGATGACGGTGAGGATGATGATGATGGTGGTGGTGCGGAGGTGATGATGATGATGGTGACGGTGACGATGATGATGGTGACGGTGAGGATGATGATGGTGAGGATGATGATGGTGACGATGATGGTGACGGTGACGATGATGATGATGACGGTGACGATGATGACAGTGACGATGATGATGGTGGTGATGAGGTGAGGATGATGGTGAGGATGATGATGGTGAGGATGATGATGGTGACGATGATGACGGTGACGATGATGGTGATGACGGTGAGGATGATGATGATGACGGTGAGGATGATGATGATGGTGGTGGTGCGGAGGTGATGATGATGACGGCGGTGGCGATGATGAAGGTGATGACCTGCTGCTCCCCGGTGCCGCGGCTCAGGGGGTCCTCGCGCTCCTCCGCCGCCGCCGTCAGGTTCCCGAAGTACTCGCTGAGGAAGGAGAGCGGGTCCTCGGGTCTGTTCTCCAGTACCCGGAGCAGCGCGTCCCGCACCACGTCCCCCACCCCGGGCGGGAGCCGCGCGCCGCCCTCGCCGTCCCCGGTCGCAGCCGCCGCCATCTTTGCTCGGGCGGGACCGCCACCCGCGGGGAGGCGACCGGAAGTGACGGTCCCGCCCCCTCACAAAGCGTCCGCCGCGCAGAGCAACCGCAGCCCGGACTTCGGTTCCGCTTCCGGGCCCTCAGCCCTGGTCCTGATTGACAGGTTAGGGTTACCCTGAAGCCAGTCAGTGCCTCCCCCCCCCACCCCACACCCCCCCCTGGTCCTTTGTCATCAACCAACTTTGGGGGGGGGGGTGGTCAAGGCAAAGAGGGCCCCAAGACACCCCCTGCCCACTCTCCCCCATTGATTTGGGGTGGGGGTGGGGGTGGGGGGACAGTGAGCCAAACACGTCTTAAGATGGGAAGTGTAGCCCCTCCGGCGGTCGGCAACAACTTGCACTTACACAGCGCCCTCACCCCAAACCCGCCGCCCCACCCCCCGCCCGCCCGCCCGCCAACGCAGGGTAGCGTCCCAGGGCGCTTGACAGCGTCGGAGCACGGCGCCGAGCCGGGGGTTGGGGGTGGGTGGGGTAAGGGGGGTAATTGGAGTGGGGAACCAAGGGGCAAAGCGGAGGGATTGGGGGAGAGCATCGGTTGGTAAAGCCCATTCCCGGCAACGGAAGGTCGCCGCCGGGGAGTGAGCGAACTGCAGTCAACGACAAATAAGTCGAGCGGCCGAATACGAGAGATAATTTTATTGAACCGACCCGGTGGGGGGGGGGGGGGCGGTCAGATTCCCTTTGGCTTCTGATGCTGTTCGTGGCAAAGCTCAACGCACAATAGCGCTTTGATTCGAATAGTAAAGATTTGATTGCAGGTTGTGCTCAGGCCGGACAGACACCAGGGACCTCCTCCTCCTCCTCCTCCTCCGCCTCCGCCCTCTGTTCTGGAATATCTGTGGTTCGATGTCGCGAAGATTTACTTCATCATCGATTTCAGAATCTTCACCTCCTCAACTGGTTTCCAATCCTGGTTTATTGTGATCAACTGCGAATCAAAATGAGGGTCATCGAGTTTCACTGCGCATTCATTCCCAACTCCGGTCCTGCACCGCCTCCCCACCCCCTCCACTCCATATCTCCACCCACCTTCCCCCTTGCCCTCTGGAACTTTCTCCCTCTGTTTTCAACCCCCCCCCCGTCCCCCCCCCGTCAACTAAATTCTTTGGCTGCAGTTTCAGTCATCTTCTTCCTGATCTGTGCGCAGGAAAACAGGCTCAAGGGGCTGAACGGCCTACTCCTGTTCTTATGTTCCTATGGACAGTGAGACAATTAAATTTTCAACCAGCGGAGTCCCGGTATGTTTAGCCTCTAGCGGTGAGCACCCACCTTCTGAGGTTGATGGGTGTCTATGTTCTCCCATGGAGTGGGATTTCCTGTCTTGTTGATTCTAGAGGAAGAAGTAAAGAGAGTGTCATGGTCGGGGTGGGGGGTGAGAGGGGAAACATCCCATGACAGATTTTAAATCCATCTGGGCAAACAGTTTTTACACAGAGGGTGATATTTTTCAAGGGCCAAAAACCAAGTCCCTTTCCCCCAATCGCTCCCCCACATGCACACCCACAAAATAACTCCCCCTTTCACCAACTTCGCTGGGAAGTGGTGTTGAACTTGCAACCAACCGCACAGCAGGTCAATGGGCAGCATCAGGAAGGACGGCGATCTTCTCTGTACTCACGTGACATCAGACTTTGTCATCAGGCTGTACACACACATGGTGAGTGCTCCTCCAGTGGCGAGACTCAGGAAACTGACCAGGGGGATCAGCTGTGGAAGGCGGAATCAGGGACAGATTGGAGACTCAGCTTCTCTGGATTCCTCATTATATATAATGTACCAGTACATCCCCCACACCAGACCCCACACACTGGAGCCCCAGCAAACCAGGAAACCCACCCGGTACAGAACGGACAAAGTAAAGGATCCACCCTCTTAAACCACAAGAACCTCACCTTCTTCCTTTTCTATCAACACCAGACTCCACACACGCCCACCCCCCCCCCCCCCCCATCCATTCGCCCACAAAAACACAGTCACTGCCTTTACAGTAAATCCTGTGAAGCACTTTCGGATGTCCAACTGACGTGAAAGGAGCTATAGCAAATGGAAGAATTATTATTATTGTACAAGTTTGCAGGGCTGTGGGGACAGAGAGCGGGGGAGTGGGATTGAATTGGAAGCTCTTTTCCAAGAGCCGGTACTGACACGAAGGGCCGAATGGCCTCCTTCTGTGCTGTATAATTCTATGATTCTCTGATCCTCATCAGCTCCCAGACTGGCTTCAAGATCCTTGTCCTAACCTGTAATTCCCTTCGTAAACTAGCACCTCCCTGCCTCTGCCATCTCCTCCAGGCTCTATTCTCTGGGGCCCTACCCAGCGTGAGGGATGCGAGATAAATGCAAGTTGTTGTTCTTCCGCCTGGGCTGGGGTCACTCTAACAAGGAATCTCATCAGAATTCCTGCCAACAGGTGGGAATTCCGCTCGGGTCGGAGCAGGGCGGCTCCCGGGAAGGATTTCCCCGTCGTTTGCAGGAGTCCGATTCCTTAACGTGGAATCCCGTTAAGAAATATTGCAAATTAGGACCCAATTATGGAGAGGAGGAAGGACGGGAATCACTCGCTCTCGCCCTCTAGTGGGGAGTCAGAGGACGACGGGAGAAAGGGAACAAAAACGGGATATCTTCACCATCGAGAACAAATGGACTCTGGATATTGTACATTTCACTGCGGTTGTGAATGATAATCCTTGCATTTGACACAGCGCCTGATCACGTCGTTATGACGTCTCACAGTGCTTCACAGAATATATCGTAAAAGTGGGTTGACTGTATTTTGTGGGTGAACCGTGGCAGCCAACTGCGCACAGCGGTGTCCCCCACATACAGCCGTGGATTGAGTGAACAATCTACTATTATTGTTCTTTGANTTTTTTTGGAAGGATTATTGACCTCAGAGAGCGATCTGCCGATCGACTAACAACGGAGTTCCTGCTGAGTCCCAGATAAACAGAGGCATGTGCGGAGTAAGGAAATTTGCCTACTGCTTCACCCCACCCGGGAATTATTTCTTGCTTGCTAGCTGAGCGCGCTGACCACTACACTACAGGGCTCCACATAGCACCAGACTAACGCGAACCTGAAACCCGCCCAGTACAGAACAAAGCAAAAGATCTCCCTGGTCTTCTGAAACCTCAAGAGCCTTACCTCTTTCTTTTTCATCATCAGTTTGAGGAAGGAAGACATTTTCTCGCAGTCCAGGTGTAGCGTTGAAGCTGACGAAGGGTTAAAATAATCCACCCCCACCCCAAAAAAAAAGATAAAGAGAGAGAAAAACATTTAAAATAAAGGTGAGAAGGAATTGGGACGACACAAATGGCGCTTGAAATCTGCTGGCCAGTTTTGAGGTGAAACTAAAACAACAAGAGTTTCGCCCACAAAATATACAGTCAATTCACTTTACAGTATATTCTCAACGACGTGATAAGGCACTATTTCAAGCGCAAGGATTATTATAAACAAAAACTTTGTATAACATCCTTCATGTTGGGTGGGTAAAGTCTGGGAGAGTTTAAAAGTGCAAAGTGCATCTAAGGCTTCCCTCAACCTGACGCAGAGGTCCCATTGAATCGATACAGAGATTTAACGAACGTTAATGTGATTGCACACCAAATAATGTATTAAAAAAAACAATTAAAACTGTAAAATTAAATGGTGAGAGTACCTGGGGTTTGTGAAGCGATCTCTTCCTGGGTGAACAGTTCGGTGAAGAGTAAATATTCAAATGATTAAGATAAGGAAGTAATTGCCTGGAAACCTTACAGGATTTTTTTATAACCTGATCGAAAGCAACAAAGAAACGGATATGATTGAAAGGACCTGTTACACCCTATTACTGTTTAACTAGTCAAATGCAACATCCATAAACTGCACAAACCTTCAACAGATCATTCCCAGCCAACGTACAGCATCGGCCTTAAAGGAACAGGACATCTCGAGGGGGAAGTATGTTCACAACAACAAATTGCCCTTATGCAGCAAGCGTCACAGAGCGCTTAACAGTGGCGGAGCCTGACTCTTAGCCGGGGAGGGTGAGGCGGCTGTAAGCACAGCTAAAGAGGAAGGTTTTCAGGCGGGACTTCGAAAAGGGGAGAGGGGGCATGGCGGAGGGATTGAGGGAGAGTGTTCCAGAGTTTCGGGGAGTAGCGGTTGAAAATGCGACCTCCAATGGTGGGGCGGAGGGTGCAAGGGACGAGCAGGAGCCGGTGCCAGTTGAGCGGAGGTGCCGGGTGGTGGATGTGGGAGTGAGGAGATCGGAGAGGGAGGGAGATGCCGAAGGGAGTGAAGGGATTTGATCACGAGAGTGAGAGGATCTTGAAGTCACGATTCAAGATTCAAATGCAAAAATGTTTTTATTTTTCTTCTACTTCACCGGCCCAACCCCTTGAAATACCGTGCGAACGAGTTTTATCAGATATTGAAACCGGTCTCTGGTCTCTCCCCGATCCACATAAGAACAATTCCCTGGTCTCCACCGGTGACAACAACGCCCCCTCAGACAACGGCAGAGCATGATGCTGAGCCGGGGGGAGGCACGGGGGAAAGAGGACGGTGTTCAGGTGTGGCCTGAAGATGGGGGAGGAAGGGACAAGGCAAATCATAAGAACGTTTCCGACACAATTCTTTCGATTTCTTTGACCGCACTTTGGGTCAATCTTCCCCTCTTCAATCCCCTCGGTTCCCAGCCGCAGCTCAGCTACCAAGCCAGGACTGTTAAGCGCCTTGAGATGCCTTCGCAACCGAAGAGACGCTGTGTTTAACTGCAGCAGGTTCAACTTTTAATTTTATTTTAGAATTGTAAAAGGTCAGAAAACAAAAATCTTCGTCTCAACCAGAAATTTACAATCATTTATTTACAATCCAGCTCATGGGGTCAAACATCCGTGCGCCAGGCGAACGCTTCCCTTCGGTCTCTTTTGTAGCCGGGAGAGTGTGCGATGTCAGAGCCGGGGAACATGTTCAGCAACAAACTCTACATCGGCGATAGCGCGAGTTAGAGACAGAGTAAAGTTCCCTCTACACTGTCTGTCCACAGTCCCAGGTCAGGGTGAGAGACAGGGTTAAGATGTCTCTACGCTTAGCGTGCACACTCCCAGGTCAGGGTGAGAGATAGGGTAAAGCTCCCTCTACACTGCCCGTCCATATTATATATATATACATATAAATATTTACAGGACTGAAACACACACAAACTGTACAGAACCAGACAGGAGTCAATTGCTCCCTTTCGCCCTAGAGCCTCTAACACCAGGTTTGTTGACGGGCTGCACTGTTTCGCTCCAAGGCTTGTGGCGACATTAACAGCTGGGCTCAGTCTCTGGCAGTGTTTCCAAGTTGGTGCAATGGTTTGACAGACGGCGTTAAGCAACACTCTCAGGCCAGCCGTGGAGCAGAAAGCAACGAGAAGCTGACTGTTGTCCCAGGGATCGAGGCAATTCCGGCTCCTCACTCCCTCAGTAAACATCCCAATGTCTCTCCTCCACCTTCCAGGAAATTCTCTTTCGGGAGCAAGTGGACACATTCATTCCAGGTCGGAATCTCTGAGGAATTTAGGGACATTCGCATTTCACCCTCCGAGACCTGAAAAGCAAGAGATAATTGTGACACTGAACTTGTCCCACTCTCCTGCTCTTACCCCATAGCTCTGCAAATATTCCCTTTTGAAACCTACAATCAAATCTGCTTCCACCATCCTTTCAGACTGTGTATTCCAGATCGTAACAACTCTCTGGATAAAAAGAAATTCTCCTCGTCTTCCCTCTGGCTCTTTTGCCAATTATTTTAAATCTGTGTCCTCTGGTTACCAACCCACCGGTTGTTATTGTTGTAATCTCTCCCCCACCCACCCCAGCCCCGATCATCAACCAGACTAACCGGCGGTGATGTCTCAGCTCTGCTCACACCTTCCGTCTGATGGCTTGTCTCAGACACACCTCGCTCTCGGCCGCCACGATGGGCAACTCGTTCTCGAAGTGATAGTTGATGAGGTGACTGATGCTGTCGAACAGCAAATCCTTGGTCCGAACCTGAGGGAACAGGAAGGAAACGGGGATCAGGAGATGGGACTGTGTACAGTGAATCAATGTCGACATGTCGCGACAGGTTGAACATCTCAGATACACCTACGAGTAAGGACTTCCAATTCACCCTGAATCCATGCAATTTTTCGTTGTTCTTGTTTTAATCTCCCCCCTGCGCCCCCGCCCACAAACCCCGGGCTTACCTAGTCTGTCGCTGAGCTGTGAATATGCTGTGTTACTAGACTGGAATATATTGTGTTCCTGACCCCCACCCCTGATATACCCCCACCACCGCAAAATCGTGCAGAAACTACTCACCATTCCCTCCGGGTCGACCAGCAGCAGGTGTTTGGGCTGCGAGTTGTGTATTCCCGTCAGCACGTACTGGCCGTGGCTGCTGATGCTGTGCCTGACCAGAAAGTCTCCGTCCGCCTCCAGCAGCCTCTCGGCGTCTTTCCTGTCGATCTTGCCGTGATACCAGGGCTCCCGCCTCAGCCTCTCCTCCTCCCCCCCTACCCCGCCACCAGGGAGCTTGGCCGCTCCCCCGCCCGACAAGCCACCGGCTCTCCCCGCCCGGCGCAGCCCCCCGGCTTCGTGAAGCTTCAGAGCATCTTCGAACGGCCCTTTGGGATGAAGAGGGGACACGGTTGGGGTAGTTTATTTGACCGGACAGGCTTCAAAGCAGGTGTTTTATTGTGATGTGTTTCTCTTCTCCTCCCCGCCCCGTCCCCCCACCACCACCAACCCACCCCCACCCCCCCAGCCCTCCCCAACTGCCCTCTTTTCACATCTTCTCCACCCTCGAGTATTAGCTCTTTGTGACGTGAAAGGTACTTTGCAAATATAATTTTGTATTAATGGGAATAAACCTTGTGTTTGATACAGCGCCTCATCACATCGTTAAGTCGTCTCAAAGCGCTTCACAGAATGGAGCAAAAAGGAACCCCTTAGTGACCAGTGTGAGCTATTGGCTCTAGGGCTGCAGATCTCAATAGTTTCTCCCAACTTACTCATGTCAAAGATGTCTTTCTCCGGACTCTCCTTGGTGTCCACTGACGCGCCGTGCAAGCACACGCGTGTCCTCTTGCCGTTACAGTCCCATTTGTCCAGGCATTGCGTGTTGACGTACATGTGATCTTCCCACGAGGCTTTCCCATAGGGCCTGAGGTAACCATCGCTGGTCAGGACTGAAAAGTTACAGATAATAATATTACAATAATAATGATGAAAGGTTGCAGGTCACCAAATTGGGCATCGACACTCACTAAGGGCAAACTATCAGCACCGCCCTCACCACTGATCTGAGTGACTGAACACTACATTCTGGGGCTCAGTTAGTAAATGCATCTTCTCTCCTCCCCAACCCCCACTTGCCCTGCACCCCTCTCTGATCCCAACCCGCAGCTCGGGATCAAACCCCTCATTGCCCAGTGCCTTGGGATGTCCTCCCAACATTACTGCTCTCTGGTGTCCCCGCTCCCCCCCCACCCAAAAGCTTTGGCTCTCGTCAACCTGCGCCTAATACATCCGGGAATTAGCTGAGCAGGTTGCATCCCTCCAGGGAGGGAGAGAGAGAGAGAGAGAGAGAGAGCGCCTTCCATTCCTACAACCTATCTCGGGGATTTCCATGTGTCGGTGAGATGCATGGAATTCTCAGTTTGGTTTGGAGACCCTTAAGCAACTGTTTCCGCATGCATCAGCTGATCAAAAAAAAAACCTCAGCTAGGCTCAGTTCTGGGGTCAGAAGCCAGGAAAGTGTAGGAGAGTGGGAGCGGGAGCTGACCTGCTGTAGCTTGCCCCTCGCTCTGGCCGCCAAAGTCCTGAGTTTCGGGAAGTTCAGCAGCGTCTCTCCGCGAGCAATAACCAAACTGCAACCAGAGAACACACTGAATGATGATAATAATCGTTCTGCTTCACTGAGAGGTCTCAAAGCGCTTCACAGAATACACTGTGGATATAATGAGACATTGAGGGGAACGGCTTTCGCTGGGGCCATGTTGCACGGTTGGAAGACCTCTAGAGGTTAAAGTATTATCTGAGACAGGAGACCCAATAATGCGGAATTAATCACAGGTCTCACTTGGCTGGAGACCGACCGACTGACCCATCGCTTTCCAGACCCCACCCAACAAAATAGCGTCACTGAGCGGAAACCCGGAGCTCGGTCCTTGCTGGGTAAACGGCACTGTAAGCCCTTGGACTGACCTGGGTCGCTCCAATGGAGCTTGATGGTTGCACGTGTCTCTGCCTGGAGTCAACGACGCCCCCTACAGGGGGCTGCTTTCCCGGGATGCTGTTGTAGTAATTGTGCTCTGATGACTCTTCTTCCTCGCCCCAGGCGGACTCCTCACTGCCTGTCATCCTGCACATAATAATGATAATGAATAATAATCCTTCCATCTAATACAGCGCCTCATCACATCGTTGAGACGTCTCAAAGCGCTTCACAGAATATACTGTAAAGTGGAGTGACTGTGTATTTTGTAGGCAATTGCGTACAGCAGCGTCCCACAAACAGTCGTGGATGTAAGTGACCACATTTTTAAGGGGGAGAGATTATTACCCCCAGAAAGCGATCCGCCAATCGACTAACAACCAGGTTCCTACTTACTACTGGATAAACAGAGGCGTGAGTATGCAGTAAGGAAACTTTCCCAGGGTTTCACCCTGACTGGGAATCGAACCCTGAAAGTTACAGAAGTGCCGTGTGCCTCACTTAGTTCTCAATGAATTCCAACGGCATGAACTTTGACACACAAAGCCGTAAACACACGGAATAAATGCAGGTCAGGTCCACTTACCGTTCCAGGGGGGTGATGAGTTTTGGGGGATTGTGGAGATACTGCTTGAACCTCAGTTCGAAGGCTTGTCCTATCGTGTTGATTACATTCTGGCCAAACCCTCACAGCACTCCAGGATATGGCAGGCTGCAGAGTATCAACAGAGACTGCGTCAGACCCCAGAACACAGCCCCTGACCTGCTCTATCATGAATATATTATAAAGTGTAGTGACTGTGTATTTTGTGGGTGAAATGCAGTAGCCAATTGCGCACAGCAGTGTCCCACAAACAGTCATGGATTGAGTGACCAATTTTCCAAAAAAAAGTTTTGAGGGATCATTTCTCCTAGAAAGTGATCCGCCTATGGACTAACAACTGGGATACTACTTACTGCTAGGTAAATAGGGGTGTGTCCATGGCTTTATATCACACTCACCTCTCAGGTTTACGGGGTCCTTGGCTACATAGGCAACGTAATCCGTGGTATCCTGCCAGCAAAAACAGCCAATGAGCAGAAGTTAATGTATTGAGAACAAGACTGCAGTAATTAAAGAGCAGCCTGGAAAAGAGAGGATGCACTGAGCGAGGAGAAAGATTCCTTTGCAGAGAGAGAGAGAGAGAGAGCAATAGAGAGAAAGAGAAACAGATAGAAGGAGGAAAAAAACGCAAGGGAAAGCGAGGATGAGAGAACATCAGAGTGAGAAACGAAGAAAGAGAAAGAACGAGAGAGAGAGTGATAATGAGAAGGAAATAGACGAAGCAGGTAGGTGTTGGCACAATGATGCTTCTTACCGTGTCCCCACCTGACGCGAAGGAGATGGACTGCATGTGATGGTTTGCGATGATCTGTGAATAAAACGAAGGGTTAGTTACACTGGCCCAAGTCACCAACTTGAGGAACCTCAAACGCAGCGGTCGGTGATCACTAAATATCCAAGTGTCTTTCACATTGTTCAGTTTAGTTCTCCACAAGAAACTGGGCACTTTCTGCTCAGTTCAGACTGAGAATTGCTAAATTAGTCACCAGTCAGTGATGGTCCCCACAACTCTCCCCTCCGTGTGTCTTTACCTGCCTCGTGGTTGGTAGCGTCAGGTGTAACCCATCGATGGAAATGTTAGCAGCGATGCTCATCCCCGCAAACTGCAGGTTGCTTTTCCCCAGCACCGAGAGGAGGCCTTTGTTGGGCACCTGAAAGAGAGAGAAGAATGACAATGGTGGAGTTCACCGAAATACTGTAGTACCTATTGTCTACTGTTGGAGGCACCAAGTACTTAGATAACTGGGTAAAGTGAATTGACTCTATATTTTGTGGGCGAAATCCAGCAGTCAATTGTGTACAGGAGTGTCCCACAAACAGGAACAACAGGGTTCCTAGGTAAACAGAGGTGCGTGGAGTAAGGAAACTTGCCTAAGGCACCAAACAATTGACAGTGTACACACTTACCTTCTTCTTCCAAGTCCCTTTCACTCCGGGAACAGCTTCATACAGTCGGTTAATGGCTTCCCTGAAACAGCAAAAACAGACGCACATCAGAAGAGACGTCCTGAACACCAGAGCCTGAAATTCCTCAAGGTCTTAGCCTTACGACCGTTGTCTTAAAATTTCAGATTGGAGCCGTTTTCAGTGATTTACAGTGCAAGTCAAGGTGCAATGTCAGAATTTCCCCATTCTTAGAGAGTGCAACGTTACTATTCCACAGGCTCTATTGAGCTCCAAAAATCACAGCTGTGCCTTCTAACATTTTTTCCCCCAACCACTCCGCGCACCCCACCCCCAACCACTCCGCACTCCCACCCCCAACCACTCCCCACCCCCAACCACTCCGCACCCCTCCCCACCTCGAGTGCCTGTGTAGGAAGGAGGGGGAGTGGGCAATGGGAGGAGAGAAGGTGGAATTAGTCATGTCCAGACCAGGCACAAAGCAGACGTTCCATAAACCCACTAGAAATGGACTGCAACAAACAGAAGCTGGTTAATAATTTAAGCGCAGTGAAACCACTCCATCCTTAGAGAGCAGTTGAGTGCTTGGGTGGGGGGGGGGGAGGGGGAGGTAGGGAATGAGAATATTTGTGTTTAAATCACGCAGACAGCCAGCGGAATATGCTTGTTTGTTTTGATCTGGTTCGAGGGCGGAGTACCTCAAGGAATATTCTGGATTATTTTTTTTCTGCAGGGGCGGGGGGGTGGGGGCTGGTGGGGGTGAAATGTTCATTCTTTAAAATCTGATTTTCTCTCTGTGATCATTTTTTTGTGCCTCTTGTTCTAGCTTTCAACCCCCACCCCACCACTCCCGCCCCCGAGGGAGACCTTATCTCACCTGGTGACCCTCCCATCTGGGGGTGTATGTGCTGATCCAGGAAGTGCTTAATGGAGTGATTTCTCATTGCTTTTTGCTTTCCTCTCCTCCTCCCACCGTTTCCACCCCCGACTTCCCCCCCACCCGCCCAAACGCACATCATCTCCGTGTTACAGAGCAAGGAGAACAATTCAATCCCACTGCCCTGCCTTATCAGATCCCTTCAGGGCCCTATTTACAAATCCCTTCAGGCCCTGACACCTCCATATCTCTGTGACCTGCTTTCTCCCCAACCCACCACCTGCCACTTCCACTCGGCTGGCTCTGGCTCCTGCTCATCCTTCATCCCCTCCGCTCCACCATTGGCGGCCGTGCTTTCAGCCACTACTCCCCGAAGCTTTGGAACTCTCTCCCTCAATCCCTCCGCCTTGCCCCCTCCTTCACATCACGACTGAAGACATTCCTCTTCGACTGTGCCTACTGTTACCACCCCCCACCTCGGCATTGTACTCAGGCCTCTGTCAAGCTCTCTGCGTGAGGGGCTCTGCGTACATGCAAGATGTTGTTGTTGTTGTTGGGCAGCAGAGTAAAGACAAAATGGGATTGTGTTATACGCCATCTCTTTCTCTCCTCTCATGACCTCCATTACGGATTGACCAGATGAAGGACATTGTTGTGAAGTCTGGTAGTTTAGCTGATCGGCACCCGGCTACAGCTGCTCCCTGGCCTGTTCCTGGCCCTCGTGCATCTCAGTTACAAGCACTGCAGGCTTCAGGCAGACACGTCAATAATAGATGAGTTGCAGTATGCACCTTATCGATCCGGCCCCCGCTCTCCGCCTGCCTTCAAAACACTTCTTAACAACCCAACTCTCTCACTTTGCCTTTGGTCGATGGTTTCAAACTCATCTTGCTTCACGTCCCCCGCTCGACCCACTCCGCCATTGGCCTCTCTGCCCCCACTCTTTGGAACTCCATCCCACAGTCCTTCACCTCGCTCCCTCCCTTGCCTCCTTCAATGCCCAGCTCAAGACCCTCCTCTTCGACTGCGCCTTCGGTCACCCTCCTACCCCTGCCCTTCACCCCTCCTGATCCCAACCCCCAATTCTCGGGTCCAAATCCCTGACTGTCCTGCGCCTTGGGACGTCCTGCCGATGTGAAAGGCGCTGTGTAAATGTCATTTGTTGTTCTTGTTTCCTTCCCACCCTGCTCAGTGATCTGCATGGCGTCTGTGTGAAGCGCCTCTAGACGCTCATCCTTTACAAAAGCGTCTATGTTGTTGGGCTGCTGTCCTCAGCAATACTTACAGCGCACATCAATTCAAAGGGAATCATCATCTGTGAAGTGCGACACTGCTGTGGTGTAAAAGGAGCCCTGCCCTGGGCTGACGGGACTGTGGGCATCTCGCTTGGGAGTGGGATGAGTCTTGATCCTGACTCCATCAGGGAGTGGAAGGCGCTGCGTTTGAAGCTTGGGAAAAATTAGGGAGGAGGCAAGCAGGGGAAAGATCACAGCGGTCACAGAACACTGGAACCAGACCAGAGATGAACAGCAGTGGGTTAGATTGGAGGCCGCTGCATCGCATTGATTTCTGTCGCAACAACCTCTCTTCCTGGAGCTACAAGAACAACTTGGGTTTATATAGCGCCCCTCACGCAGGGCAGCATCCCAGAGCGTTCAACAGTGGCTTGACTGTTAAACCAATCCAACAGACTCCAGTTGATGTTGAGCCAGGGCACAAGGAGGCTGGATTGTGACTGGATTAAGTTTCTAACAAAGCCAAAATTAAAGGAGTAAAAATAAAAGCCAAACAGCTCTTGTGTTTTGCAAGCCAAGTATGGAACTCCATTCCCTTTAATCCCCAAACTCCTCGCCCTCTCCGGGTTTCTGACAATGAAATACATCTTTGGAGGAGTAGCTTCTCTTACCTTGTGACTTGTGTCCTTGTGTAGAAATCGAGGGATCTCATTGACTTTAGCACCTCTATACAGCCCATGTACTGGAAAACATAACACATAGGCTCACATGTAGCTTCTGGGGTTTGGGGAATGATGGACAGAGTGTTTGTGTAGAAAGCTTGAATGATGCAGTAATGAATGAGACCATTTTTTCCATGTTATAAACTGTTGAAATTGCCCCCATGTCCTCCCCCTCTCCCCAATTTGATTAGCTCAGATTTCAGTCTATTCCTGACACCTACTGACACACAAAGTCCAGCTCCAAACAGCTGACATTCCCAACAGCTGTGTGTGGGGTACATCAATTGTCATTGAGGTGGGTCTGTGTGGCAGTGCTCAGCCTACATAAGGCTAGAGAGACCCCCGCTGTCAGGGGAGGGGAGGAAAGGCTTTAACATGGCTCACATTACATCCAGGTCCCTTGGGTGACTCTCCAGAGAAGCAGAGTCATCGAGGTCAGACGTAATGCCTATATACATGTTCCATTTGTAGAGTCCTATAGCGAAGTGGTTAACGCGCTCGTTTCACAAGCGAGAGGACCCGGGTTTAATTCTTGGCCGGAGCAAAACCTTACGCTAGTTTCCTTACTCCATCAGTAATAACTACTCAAAAAAAAGGTCTCCCAAATTACGGCTGTTTGTGGGTCACCTCTGTGCGCAATTAGCCGTGTTTCACCCACAAATACAGTCAATTAGCTTTGCAGTATATTCTGTGAAGCGCTTTGAGACATCTCAACAACATGATAAGGGCGCTGTACCAAATGCAAGGATTATTATTATTAACGTCCACCTGGACAGGCAGAAGGAAACTTAAGACTATCCAAAAAGATCGGCAGCTAATCGCAAAGTTCTTGTCCCCAAAAGGCTAAGCAGGACTTTGGACCTGGTGAATTGCCTGCTGTATTTGCCATCATAACAACATTCACTTTATTCTTAATTTGATTCACTGTGTGAAGCACTGCGAGATGTTTTGTTTGTTTGAAAGGCGCTGTACAAACATAAGCTGCTGCTGATTTCCTGCTGTGTAAAAAAAAAGCACCGACAGAGAGAGAAAAAACAAATTGCATTTTTTATAACGTCCTGTCACGTTGGAAACTTCCCAAAAGTGCTTCACAAGAAAATGAAAAGTAGTGACTGTTCTTGTAGATTCCCCCCCTCCCCAAGCAGTCAGCCCGACTCGCCCCATCTTTGTCCAAAGAGAGTAGGACGACCATTGCTTTGTTTGTCTCGATCTGATTAAGGATAGCAGTGAGGGAGGATACTTTGGAAATCAATCACATTTAATTAAAAACCCTTCTGCCCCTCGCAGCTTCAAGGAAATCACCGTTTCTCTAGCCATTGTTGTCCCAGAAAAATGGTCTTCAATCAATACTTTGTGGCCGGCATATAAACAGAATAATAATCCTTGTGTCTTGTGTATTTGGGTGTGTTGGAGGTGGGTGGGGGGGGGAAATACATGGCTCTCTGTCTGCTCTCCCATCGTTTGCTAATTGCCCTCAACCGTGTGCATCCCCCTCCCAGCGCTCTCAGGCGTCAATATTAGAGGAAAATAATAATGGCAACATTAACAATCCTTGCATTTAATATAGCCCCTGATCAGGTTGTTGAGACGTCTCAAAGCGCTTCGCAGAATATAAAGTGAATTGACTGTGTATTTTGTGGGCAAAAGTGTATAGTACAGTAAATCCCTTCCCTCCCTCCCTCCCTCCCTCCCTCCCTCCCTCCCTCCCTCCCCCCCTCCCTCCCAAACGTTCTGGGAAGTGTACTAAACCAGCTCCCTTTTTTCCCCAGTTCATAATAATAATCCTTGCGTTTGATACAGCAACTTATCATGTCGTCGAGATTTCTCCAAGTGATTCACAGGTTATATTCACATGTGGGGGGGGGGGAGTGGAAGGGGAAAGAATTGCAGCTGAAGTGATTTTAAAAAAGTTTTGGGGCGTTTTTATACATATATGTGTATAAAAAAGAGCAGTTTGCGAAATATTATTATTATAAAACAAGGGCTGGGGGCAGGGGGATCTATACACATACACATATAAACGTATATACACATACAGAACCAAAATGTTTTCTCGGGCAGGGTGAAACGTTTCGCCCACAAAATCCACGGTCAATTCATTTTACAGTATTTCGCTTTGAGACATCTTGAAGACGTGATATCAAATGCAAGGATTATTGTTATTATTATTATCATCACGTCATTGAGAAGTCTCAAAGTGCTTTCACAGGAAGGGGGTAGGGATTGCAGTTGAAATGATTTCAAAAGTTTCAGGGACGGGGAAGGGCATTTTATATATATATATATATATATATGCGCGCACACCCACACACACACACACGCAGTCAATTCACTTTACGGTATAATCTGTGAAGCGCTTTGAGACGTCACAAAGACATGTCAAATGCAAGGATTATTATTGTATACATATTATATACAGTATATTTTATAAACATATAAATATACAAATATATTAATGCATACATAATACACACATATATAAAGTTTGCAAAATGCTGCGCTCTGTAAAATATTGTTATAATAAAATAGTGGCTGGGTCTGGGGGCGTGAGAGTGTGGGGGGGTGGGGGTGGTCGCAGGACCTTGCAAAATATATATACACAAAGTATACATAGTATATAAAGAAAACTTTACTTACACGGACAATGTAAGAGACACCAGATCCGAGTATCTTGTCATCAGTGTGCAGCCAGCCCTGGAGGGCTTGTTAATGAAGCTTCCTTTCCGGTTCCACTCTTCTCCGGCTAGTTTGATGCCTTCTACACGCACCTTCCTGCCTCCACCACCACCACCACCACCACCACCAGCAGCTCCACCAGCAGCTCCAGCTCCACCACCTCCTCCTCGCAGCCTGTTCATTGCCTGCAGGGAGCAATGAGCAGCGCACGCACTGTCACAGGAGCTGAACACAGCGCTGAGCCCATCAGCCACGCCACCACCAGCAGTGGCAGCGGGACTAGCCCTGGATGGAGGCATCTCCTTATTCCTGCTTCCCAAGAAGCCAGAGCCGGAGTGGGAGAACTTCCAATGTGGGATTTTGGGGATGAGAGTGCAGAAGGTGGTAGGGTCATCCTGCTCCTCGCCCCCTGAGGCTGGGGCGCCTGAAGTCGGGGTTGGGTTTGGAGCTGGTGTTGGGGTAGGGGTTGGGGCTGGGCAAGGGGGAGGCGAGGTAGTGACCACTGTTACTGCTCCCTTACTGCTGCTCATTGCTAGCTGCTGCTTCAGCCCTTCAGATGATGTCAGCGAGTCATTCCTGAACCGGTCATACTTAGACTTATGCAGCATCCCCTCCTCCTACTAACTCCTAAGTGCATCAGATTGATCTCTCTCTCTCTCTCTCTCTCTCCTCCTCTCTCTCTCTCTGTTTCTGGAGCCCAGTTCACTTGGCAAAAAAAGCCTCTGATGTCATTTGACCATTAGTCATCTATTACCCAGGCAGGCTGTGTGTGTGTGTGTGGGTGTGTGGGAGAGAGTGAGGAAGGGTGATAGAGAGAGAGCGGGAGAGAGACAGACACGCATAAATAAATAAGCTCAAGGCAGAAACTTAATTTGTTGCAGAGAAGCTGTTTCACCCCTTCCGCTGTAAGGCTGATTTGATTTAAAGATGGATTGACATCAGGGCTCTCGCTCTTTGCTTTCTGTCTCTCCCCCCCTCCCCCTCCCTCCCAAGGATAGATGTTAAAAGATGCTGAGCCAGCGAGGGGAGTCTCTCCCTGTATCCTGGCTGAGACGAGACTGTTTAAAGTCTTATCCGTCCTTCAGACGAGACATTAAACCGAGCTCCCCATCTGCCTGTTCAGGTGGGCTTTAAAGATCCTAAGGTGTTATTCGAAAAGAGAAGGAAATTTCTCTCTGCCGGTGTCCTGGCCAACAAACCACCAAATAAAAAAAAATATCAGTTTGTGGGACACTGCTGTGTGCGCACTGCCCACAGAACACACAGTCAATCCACTTTACAGTATATCCCGTGAAGGCTTTGAGACGTCTCGACAACATGAAAGGCGCTGTATCAAAATCAAAATTAAAAAAATGTCACTACAGTACCACTCAAGTTATTGCTGTGAAGTGCTTTATGTCGTCTCAAAGTGATAAAGTGCTTTAAAAATCAGCATCAAATAACAAATATAATTATAATAATCCTTGCATTTGATACAGCGCCTTATCACATCTTCGCGATACCTCGAAGTGCTTCACAGCAATTGACTGTGTATACTGTATAGCAGCAACCCCCTCCCCCTCGCTATTCGTCTCCCCTCCGCAGACTGAGATTCCCCTCCAGCAATCACCCGGATGCCTCTCTAACTCCCACCCAGCCTTTGAAGTTCCCCCATACTTCCTGTTGGCTAAACTCACTCAGTTTGACAATGCTGGGCTGCATGTATGTCCGAGTCTAACAGCTGCAGAGAGAAGGAGAGAGAGAGAGAGAGAGCCCGAGGAGCGAATTTTCTGATTGCAAGCCAGAAATAGCCTCCAAAATCATGTAAAAAGGGTGTCACGCCTGCTTTTTCCTAACTTAAAAGGGCGGTGCGTTAAGCACGACAACCCAAAAAACACCTCGCAATTTCCTGAAGGTCTCTTAGGTTTACATTTGGCACCTGGCTGAGGCAATAAGATAAACGAGTAAAAAGGAACCGAGCACAGGGGAAAGGCTAGAAATTAATTGTTACCCACACACACGTGCACACATATACCCCAGGGCTGTATTCGAAAGGGGAAGGGAGTTTCTCTCTCTCTTGGCCAACAGATCCCTCAAATAAAAAAATCAGTTATTCACTACATAGCTGTTTGTGGGACATTGATTTGCGCAAACCTGGTGCTATGTTTCATCCACAAGATACACAGTCATTCCACTTTACAGTTCCCCTCCTCAAATACAAGGATGGTCTGTGCGACTGAGCCCGGCTAAAAATACAAGATCCTGCATTGCCTTGAAATCGTTCAGATTGATTTTTTTTTATTAACACTATAAAACTTCTCCAGCTCAAACCTAGACACTGTAATCGCTCACTCAGAGCTCACAACTACTGAACAACCACTAGGCAGGGGCAAAATCATAGAAATAATAGCACATGAGGAGGCCATTTTGTCCATCAAGCCTAAACTGCTGCCTAAACTCCATCTACTTAAATCCTTTCCCTGTTCTTGCCCTTCATCTCCACGATCTTTGGAAGCCCTCTTGTGTAGTGGTTAGAGCGCTCACCTTGCAAGCGGGAGGACCCGGTTTGATTCCCGGACGGGGTAAAACCTTAGGCAAGTTTGCTTACTCCACATGCCTCGGTTTACCCAGCAGTAAGTAAGTAGGTTGTTAGTCGATTGGCGGATCGCTTTCGGATCAGTAATAATTACTCAAAAAAAATGCTCACTCAATCTAGGACTGTTTGTGGGACACTGCTATGTGCAATTGACTGCCGTGTTTTGCCCACAAAATAGACAGTCATATTCACTTTACCGAATGTTCTGTGAAGCGCTTTGAGACATCTCAAAGACGCGATAAGGTGCTGTATCAAATATCAAGGATCATTATTATTATAACCTGCGAATTTCCACTCCTGTAAGGCTCAATGTCGTGTCATCTTTAAAGTCCATCTGATCTACTGGAACAGGCTGGTAAGAATTAAAATCTTTTCAGAAGTGAAACTCACACATTCAATGCTTGCGTGACAATGTTGATGCCAGCTGATTTAATGTTACACAAAGCTGCCAACATGCTACCACAAGAGAAAGGCTATTAAAATTTAGAACAATCGGTAAACATTACAAAATGCTGACGCATGCACCCCCACTGTATAAAGCCATAAAGCTTCTTCCTTCACTTCAACCCAACTCAATTATACACGAAAGCCCATTCCAGACAAACAGAAATGAACCACTCAGCAGCCAGAGCACAGCTTCTCTTGAGATGCATTAGTACCTTACGATAGCTACCTAAAGCCCTTGAATCCAATTACCTCTTGTTATTATGTGAGCACTGAAATACAGTGTCAGCGTCCAGGGAGAGAGCATAACGCAATTAGCATTGCACACAAGACCACACTAAACGCCCAGCAAGCGACAGAGCAGTGTTGCTCTGTGTTTTATTATTTGTAGCCGTTTTCTTGTGGGATTTTAATGAATTAATGGTCGAGGGTTTCATTCTAACTGAATATTATATATCAGGTAGCTTATGCCAGGAGTATCTTTTTGGCCAATTTTCTCACATTTGTTCTCTCCTGAAAGCTGGGGTAGAGACACACAGGCATCATCCATCATGTCACACTTCCTATGCCAGTGCTGGCCGGCCAGTTGATCCCAAGGGCGATCCTGACTGAGCCCTATTCCATTCTCACCCAATATCAAAATGGATATTCAGAGTCCTGTAGCGTAGGTTAGTGCGCTGGCCTCGTAAGCGAGAGGACACAGGTTTGATTCCCGGGCAGGGAGAAACCTCAGGCACTTTGCTAATTTAACAGGCGCTGAGACCAACTGTAGCCCCGGCCACTGACCTGATTATCTAACCAACACAGAATAGGAACCTTAAACCTCGGCGGCCTAGTCCTTTATGCGATGACCTATTAAGGCAGCTTCCGAGTACAACTTTCACATTTGCCTCTATATCTAAGCACTTCACAGAGAATTGCTGTCAAGTGTACTCACTGCGTGGTTTGTAGGCAATCACTTGGTTGTCACAGGCATAAAGCGAATGATCGATTTATCTGTCCAGGACTCTAGAATAATAACAATAATAATCCTTGCATTTGGAATAGCATCTTATCACGTCAGAAAGATGTCTCAAAGCACTTCATGGGATTTAATGTGAAATGGAGTGACTGTGTATTGTGTGCACAGCCAATTGCGCACAGCAGTGTTCCACAAACAGCCGTTGATTGAGTGATTTTCTTTTTGAGGGATTATTAACCCCAGAAAGCGATTTACCAATCAAACGGCTTCCTACTTACTGCTAGGTAAACAGAGGCACGTGGAGTAGGAAAAGTTGACTAAGGTTTTGTCCCGCCCGGGAATCGAATGTGGGTCCTCTCGCTTGCGAGGTGAGCGCGCTAACCACTACGCTACAGTTGTAGGCGAACCATCTCCTCTTTTTGAATAGTGCTGTGTGACCAAAGGACAGCAGCTCCAGCAATGCGGTGCTCCCCCCGGTATTGCAATGGAATGTCTACTTGGGCCTCAAATACCTTTGACCTAGCGGTGAAGGCGTTGTCAACTGAGCCAATCTCGACATCTAATCATGCATTGTTGTTTCCTCTTGCAGTACAACAAAGTGATAGCTCGGTCTGACCTTTACTGAAATAGCACCCAGAGCTCAGAGTGACTGAGGGGAACCAGACTGTGTCACAAGAGGGAAAAGTCAGACAGTGCAGTGTACTGCTCTTTGCTCTACTCCTAGTTCCTCTTCCTCTTTGTCCCATCCTTCGATGGACAGCGTTCCCTGCAGACAACCAGGCAACAATAACCCGTGAAGTGATTGGAGACATTTCAACATGGTGGGCGTTGCACCCACAAAAATACACAGTCAATCCACTCTGTAATAATATTCTGCAAAGCACTTTGAGATGTCTCAAAGACGTGATTCAGGGAACGTGTTTTTGCTTTCTGCCACTGTGCATCCACTCTCTGGAATCCTGTCCTGGAAACCCTTTCCCTTGCTCCTCTGGGTCAGGGAGAGAGAAAAGCCAGGAGTGGTCTCGATAACTTTGCCCTCATCCTCCTTGAATGGACTCCCTAACAACTTGCCCGCTCCCTCTGTTCAGCGGGCTCAGGCCTGCTCCATGTCTCCCGCTCGACCCACCGTACCATTGGTGGCTGGGCTTTAGCCTCTCTGCCCCCACACTCTGGAATTCCAACCCACAGTCCGTTCGCCTCGCTTCCTCGCTTGCCTCCTTCAAGGCCGGTCTCAAGACTCTCCTCTTCGATCATGCCTTTGGTCGCCTTCCCACCTCTCTGCCTTCCCTCACCCCTACCTTACCCCTCCCCATGCTCGGGTCCTGACCCCTGACTGTCGAGCGCTTCCCGACGTGAAAGGCGCTCTATAAATATAATTTTGTTGTTGCTGTTGTACACATGAAGCAATATCAGGTAAATGGGATAAAATTATTATTATTCAAAGGCCAGCTAATTCAGTACAGACCAGATCCTTTCTATTAACAGCAATAAGTCTGTGAGGCAAATGCATTATCAAAGGTGCCATCTTCAGATGAAACAGATTCCATCTGTCGGGAGGACATTAGAAATCCCAGGACACTACTGAAAAAGAGAAGGAGGGGTGGGTTGGTCGGCAATCCCCCAGACAAATTGGCCACGACTGTATGTAGTGTGCATAGAACAGCTACCTTGCTTCTTACAGACTCGGAGGCAACCCTGTGATGCACTCTGAGACGTTTCAACACTAATAATAATAATAATTCTTGTATTTGATATGTCACCTTAACACGTCTTTGAGATGTCTCAAAGCGCTTCCCAGAATATTCTGTAAATTGAATTGACTGTATATTTTGTGGGTGAAAGGCAGCAGCCAATTGCACTCAGCAAACAGCCGTGGATTGAGTGATCAAATTATTATTTTCGCCAATCGACTTGACAACAACTTTATAGGCATTTCGCCTACAAAATACAAAGCCAATCCACTCTGCAGTATAATATGTGAAGTGCTTGGAGACATCTCAACGACACGATAAAGCGCTATATCAAGGACAAGGATTATTATTAGATTATTACTGTCTCAAAAGCATTTATTATTACTGTTACAACCACGAGCCACAAGATAAAAAACAAGTTGTGGAACAAAGCTAAGTTTAAAAAGTTTGGTGACAGTGGAAAATGAGATGTGTGACAGCACGAACCATTTAATTCTGTTGAATCCTCAATCCACGGCTGGTGGTTGTACACTGCTGTGTGCAGTTGGCTGCCACATTTCACCCATAAAATATACAGTCCCTCCACTCTACAGTATAATTCTGTGACGCGCTTTAAGACGTCCCGAAGACGCGATAAGACGCTATATCAAATGCAAGGATTATCTACAAAGGAAACCAGAACCCATCTGAATAGACTGTTCAGACTCTCCAATGTTAAAGCACAGATAACTCTCAGCAAGTGTAAAGCACTGTAAGTCCAAGACACGCTTACCTTTCCTCCCCTTGCCCCAGGCTTCAGCGTGAGTGAGGCAGTCTCGCGCTCGCTCGCTCTCTCTTGCTCGCTCTCTGGAAAGACTGTAACACAAAAGAGTTCTTAATGGTTTAATGTCAAGAGAACATGGAGCGAATCAGAGGGTATGGTGGGTGGGATGACTTGTGAAGGAGCAAGGTGACCATTTAAACCAGTCACATCCTCGCCCACTGATCAGCCTGCAAACAAGTTACCTCCTGCACCAAGATCTAGAGGCTGTGGGTGAGTGAGGATGGGGAGGGAGGGAGGGAGGGTGAGAGGGAGGGAGGGAGGGAGGCGTTAGAGAATGATGTGCCGTTGCTTATCTGATTGACTTGACTCGCTCCAACAGGTTCCAAACGGAAAGCGTGAACCCACAAGACACACAGCAGTCAGTCAGTCAGTCAGTCAGCAACACAGCAAACATCACACACACCACACACACACACCGTCAGACACAAACCCACAGGTAAGGACAACAGCTGTTAACATGACCCGAGAGAGAGCCATATAACCAGATGGGGCGTCGCCATCTGTGGCCAACACTGCACTGGCGGGTGTTACACGAGTGGGATTTTTGTCCTGGACACAGCGATCAAAATCTCTGTTAAGATTCGCAGATCGATCCAAATAAAGTACATTACACCAGTGATCTCTCGCTCTCCTCCTCCTCCTCCTCCTCCTCCTCCTCCCAATCATATGTACAGACAAACTGCCCCAATAATCAACTGTTACGTTATCATTTGCTTTAATGTTCTTTCTCTCTCCCCTAAAGAACCCCCCACCCTGACTCACGCTGGGATACAGATCCGCAGTGGCCAACTGTTCTGTGGCATCTCTCTCCCAAATTGAATGTCCTCTTGCAAAAGCCCAGATAAAGAAAGTGTTTTAACAGATGAAAGTGTGCGTTGTAGACAGGACAGGACAGGACAGGACAGGACGAGCTGATGGCTCTATCTATCTCTGTGTGGGAGAGAGACAGAGACAGAGACACACACACACACACAGAGGGAGAGAGATAGAAAGAGGGGGTGAGGGAGAGAGAGAAAAATCACTTATCTGTTTCTCACTCTGAAACCCAACACAAACTTACAAACCTTCCAGCATGAAGTTACTGGAGAGGAGAGAGAGAGAGAGAGAGAGAGAGGGAAAGAGATGCAGATAGATTTGCAACGATTTCATTTAGCAGGAAAGTCGTTGGCTTTTTATTTAAGGATTTTAAAACAGAGTTTACTCACTGACTGATTCACATGAGAGCACTGGCCAAACCCAACTACTACATCTATAACAGCACAGAATGACTGACTGACGTGTCCTGTTTCAGTTCCTCCTCACCCACACATATATACACTCTCACACAACACACACACACACACACACTGACCCATGTCTGTACCAATAAATAGACTGCTTTGCTGTCAAGTTTCCTCCTGCTTCAGAATTTAAGCCACAGCTAAAAAAACACACACACGCACATCAATTTGGAGTAAGCAAAAGTGATCGACTCTGTAGAAAATAAAGCTTCCAACTCACTGCTTCCTATTCAGTCCAGTGCGGGCGATACACAGAGAGAGAGACTTTCATCCTACAGTAACTTCTCGACAGAAAGTTTCTCTGTATTTGCATGAAGTCACTCTGGTGGTGAGAGACAGAGATAGAGTCATCAGCGAGGCTTCCTGTACTGTCTCCAACGCACACTTTCATCTGATTAAGTGGTACCAAACCTCAACCTCCCATCAAGTCTCAACTGTATCAAATACAAGGATCATCATTATTATTACTAAGTCTCAGCCGTACTTTCAAAGCTCTGTACAGTAGTAGGTGGCTGCACAGAGAGAAATCCCATCCAATACAGCTAGAGATGTCCTTTGGAACCATTTTTGGGGGCGGGCGGTCAGCCGGGTCTCAGACCCTTGGGGAAACCCATCACTGTGCTTAAGAGTCTTCAAAATCAAACTGAGAATTCCATGCATATGACCTACATCATGGAGATCCCCGAGATAGGTTGGGATGGAATGCGCTCTCCGTTCTTGATGAAGCCTGCACGCAGATTCCCGCATCAGATAATAAAATGAATTTAATATACAATTAATTTATATTTATGCATTATATATTGGTGTCCAGCGCCTTGGGAGGTCCTTCCGATGTGAAAGGCGCTATACAAATGTAATTTGTTGTTATTTACACTAATTTTGCCCACAAAATAGTCAAACTATTTTGCAGTATATCACGTGAAGCGCTTTGAGACGTCTCAGCGACATAATACGGCGCTATATCAAACGCAACAATTATTATTAGTCATAATATTTATACAGTACAGCAATAACTCTCAAATAAAGCTTTCAGGCCTGATAGTTACAAATAAAAAAGCTAACCAGCGCACCCTGAAGGTCTGATGGACAAAGTCAACCAGAAGTGCAGCAATGGGCGGTCTGTCTGTCACAGGTTGGAATCTGGTGCTGAGTTAGTTATAATCATATTACTGTACTTACACTTGTCATTGCTGGTTCCACGCTTTGACTGAGTCACTCACAATTTCTCTTCCCGTTTCTGTGTTCCACAATTACACAACACAGAAAACGTCGAGAGGATTTGAAACTCTTTTCACGGACAATGGTGCACAGGAATCTATTGTGGGATGCAGTACAGCCTTGAATCTGGCTTCTGGGTCAGAAGGTTGTGGGCGTACAGGTCTCCCCACCTTCACACAACTGCACGTTATATAAACTTTTCCATTGTAGAAACAGGGCGAACCACTGCGCTGTTGTACACAAGAATGTTTGTGTACGCAAGCGAAGGTCACCCCCCCCCACCCCCCCGTCCCCGTATTCTTTAAACGAATGACGGCGGTTGTTTCGGGAGAACAAACAAACCCGGGCTCGCCGCCCGGATGGCTCTGGTCCTGGGACGTATCGCTTCCGGACGCAGGTCAATATATACTTCTCCGCATCGCCGGGTCAGGGTACGCATCCTCTGGAGACTGACCGCCTGCGCGCGCGTGCGCGCCCGAGGGCGAGATAGGCAGCTCTCGTATCAGGTGCGAATCGGCGAGCCAGCCGGCCGCTGCGCGTCATTAGCGGTGTTATTAGTAACGTGCAAAGCCGCGGGGGGGGGGGGGTGGGGGTAGGGCCGCGCTTGCGCCCCCAGGACGCACGCGCGCCCCCCTCCGCGTTACGGCGTGTCCTGTATCTCAGTGGTTAGAGCACTCGCTTTGCAAGTGAGAGACCTGAGTTCAATTCCAGGCAGAGGGCGAAACCTTGGGCAAGTTTCCTTACTCCACACAGAGCCTAATAATATTCCTCCAAAACCAAAAACAATAATAAATTGGTCATTTTCAATCCACGACTGTTTGTGGGACATTACTGTGCGCAATTGGCTGCCGCGTTCGCCCACAAATATACAGTCAATTCACTTTACAGTGTGTTCTGTGAAGCGCTTTGGGACGTCCTCCCGACGTGAAAAGCGCTATATCAAATGCAAGGATTATTATTATTATTATATTATTATTATCGCGCTCTCGGCTTCAGTCCCGCATTCCCTCTGCGTGAAGAAGTTTCCTCCTAAATTATCTTTCAGACCCCCCCCACCCCTTCTCCCCCCCCCCCACACCCCCCACACACACACACCACCATATTTAAGTCACTTAATAAAAGAAAGTGTTTTGCTCCACACACACACACACAGCAACCGCTTTACGGCAGGACGGTTCGTTTACGTCACCGCGCCGCACGCACGCACCCACGCTTTACGGCGGCGAGCGAGCGCGCAGCGCGCAGCGTCAACCGAACCTGCTGGTGGGCGGGTCCCCTCCGCGCGCGCTCCTCTCCCCCCCCCACCCGCGCCTATTGGTTGGGTCGGGTGTCGAGGGCGGGGAGCGAGGGCGAGGGGTTGACGATTCCTCGCCTGGGATTGGCTCAGGCCGCAGTCGGTCAATCCGTCAGGGGGCGGGGCGGGGCAGCAAGCGGGGTAGGTTGTGACGAGCGCCTGGCAACCAGAAGAAGAGGCTTCTTCTTCACAGGGAGAAAATCGTTAGAAAATGGTGAGTTTTTTCCCCCCCAGTTGTTAAATATCCCGGGAGTCGCTTTTAATATTTACCCCATTCTCTCCCCCACCCGCCGAAAGAGAGAGAGAGAGAAAAAATAACGCGTCGTGTTCCTGATTAATTAATCTTTCCCCATTGGCTCCTGAGGAGAGCTCTCAACTCCACACATTTTTGTGGCCTATTTTTTTTTGGAGCCATAACTTTCTGCTCATGTCAATGCCCAGATTCTGCCTCATTCTCCCCCTCTTCTCTCCCCCCCTCCCCCCCCCCCCCCAAACACTGACACACACACACCCACACACTTTTGGACCGGTTTGTTGGTTCCCACAAAAAATGTGTTTTTTTAAATACACACATATATATATATATATATATAACTACATCATTTTATTTAGGGAAAAAAAAAGTATTTTATGTTAATGTTGGTTGGGAAGGGTGGGGGAGGACATAACAGGGAGCACAGCCCTGCGGTTGGTCTTCCCCCTTGTGTCCCACACACTTGCCTCTCCGAGCAAGTGGGTGGGTGGGTGATGGAGTGCCAATTGCACCTGATTTTCTTTTGCCGTTCACCCAGCAGGCACTGAGGTTAGATTAGGTAATAATCCTTGCATTCGATAAGGGTATTACTGTACAGGCACTGGTTAATTTGCAAGCAGCGGTGCATGTCCCACCAACAGCCAGAAAGCGAAGGACCAGTTTTATTCTCCGGGAGATTCTTGGCCAGGTCATTGGAAGAAGTTTGGCTTCAACTCTCCCTCCATGACTGGAGAGGTTGTCCACACTCACTCACTGTAAAGTACTGCTGGGAGGTCCTTTACCGGAGGATATAAATGATGCGTAGCAGGAGTGCCTTAGCAAAGGAGTATATTTTATAAAGATATGAAGATAGTTCTTCCTTTCCCTCACTCTTTCATGCCAAAGCGACAAATCTCATTAAATAACCATAACTACAAACAATATACACAAATATTAGAACTCTCCAGTCCTGCTAGAGCTAGTTTTGAGGATGGGAGAGAAATTATATTTCGACATGGTCTCTGGACCATTGCCAACAAAAACAGTCGCTGCTTTTGTCAGAAATTACTTGTGAAGACCTTTTGATGTTATAAGCTATTATAAAGGCACAAGTCCTTTCTTGCACAATGTTTTATTTTGCTTTTATGGTGAAGAATCCTGACAACATTTCAATTTCTTTCACTTTTCTTTTTCTCTTCAGCTTCCACTCTCGTTACTGAAGACTGCTCAGAACCATCCGATGGTGAGTGAGACAGCACCAAATTAGTGCAGTGGTTGTGAGCAGATTCGGAGCTCAAATCGTCATCTGGGGCTGTAATCCTGCGTGAATAGTCTTGTAATCGCCTTCTATCATTGGGAACCTGCTAAGTCTGGCTCAGAGTTTCTACCCCTTTTCACACCTTTTGCACGGCTTCCTGCTCCTTTACGGGATGACCCAACCTGTTTTGAGATTGAGTCAAGTGCTCTTGGCTGCTACCCTTTGTGAGGGGCGCTATAGAAATGCAAGTTGTTGTTGAGTCTTGTAATCTGGGTGGAAGTTTCTCTAAAATCCTCCTCCTTGCTCCTTCCCTCACTACCCCTTCCCCCAGTTTTGCACCCGATGATTTCCTCTTTCAGAATAATTTAGCCAGTAACAAAGAGAAGACTGCCAGCTATTTATATAATGCTGTGAATCTCAAACCGAATAATCCAAACTTGATAATCTGGTCTGAAGCACACAAGTGAGTTGGTGTCTTTGCTGGGATCAGATAGTCAGGTGGATGGGTACTTGTCACCCAGTTCCTTTTTCAGTTGAGTTGGCAAATATATTGTGTGTGGGTGGAAGTTTCCAATCCTCGGGACAGTCACATTTTTACATAACTTTGGTGTCAGCTTAAATTAATTTCTCTTCCTATCTTTCACCCCTCCTCCAGTCTGAGATAGAGGGACTATGGTGGTTGCAAATTCCTGTTTCTAACTTCTCAGAAGGCTACTTTGGGGACGGTTTCAAATTCGAGTTGAGAGACTTGTGGCAAATAGCACAGGCGTATGTGGACCTGAACTATACAGAAGAACAGTACGTGTTTTGGCTGTCAACTAGGGGGCTTCCAGCGTACAGCGCTTCTAGGATAATCATCAGGTCACCACTTACATCACTTCCCGTGTGCTGTACATGTGAGCATTGTTCAGAAACTGATATTGTCGGTGGCCTAAACCTGGAAGCACTGACCAACGGCCAATTTTAGCGCACCGCCTTGTAATGGAATTGGATAAAATGTTAATTCTTTATGCTACTTTATGTTTTAAAAAATAAAAGCAGCTTCACCCAAACCATGTCACCCTACATCATCTAAGGGGAGACATTATGCAGGGGTTTATCGTGACTGATGTACTTGGTTACGTATATCCTCAAAAGTAATGAGAAGCATTCCCATGTCGTAATTGACGGTTCAATTATGGTGTATGTGTAATCTGGGGCACGTGTCACTCTATTGACTGCAGACGAGTAAAATATTAATTCTCTCCATTCTTGGCTCAAAATTCAATTGCCAGCCAAAAGGTAGGAAATGGTAGGAATCTATCTGAGACCTGCTTGACATTGCTCTAGGAATGGAAACTTCCCTCAGACTGTTTCCCCACTACGCTCTTAGTTAGCCCTCCTCTGCAGCAAAATATTTCTAAATCTGGGCGAGTCCTTTCCTGGAGACATTCAGAGCCGAGTGATTTAAAACCATTTCAGTTTCAGGGTTCAGTCCGACAAGTGAACTTTTTCCTAGCGAGAGGAAAGCCATGGGCGTGATGAATGATTGTTGGGTGGAATTCACAACAGTTCAGTTCAGTGAATTTCCGTGCTTTAAGCTGCATTCCAGTCACACAAGATCCTTCCCCTTACACTGCAGTCTCCTTTGTTTCCATTCCTAATCCTGTCGTTTGTACATACAGAGTACAAAATATTGTGTTCCTCCAGCAACTTCAAGTCCGAATTTGGAATTGGGAAGCAATTGAGTGTTTGTGCTTCCTCCAGTCACAGCCGAGTTTGGCTTGTGGCCCAGGACATTGAGTGGGAAGTGTAAGGTCTCAGCCTGCGGATCTGGGTGTCAAAACTGACAGTGGTCAGGTGCTACCTGTTGCACATGTCCTTCCGACAATTCAGTGATCAGTTCTGGTGACATTTTTGTGTCTACAGGAAATGGCAACGCCTCAATAAAAACACTTCTTGCCTCTCAACCACGAGATAGTGTGTCCACTTTGTTTGGTTAGGAAGGGAAGGGAAGTTGTGCTGTGTGGAACTCTCCTGTCAAATGTCTTCCTCATTTCCGCCACTTTTCTCTCCCCCCTCCCCCCCCCCCCCCCCCACCGAAGCTCAGGGTCCCAGTCAGTGATGTGAAGCACACTGAAACATCTCATCCCAAAGTGAAAGGTGCTTTATCAGTGTAAATGGAGATAGGAGGTAGGTGGCAGAAAGTGCTATTAAAGAGAAGTTTTAGGTGACTTTTAAAAGAGAAAGAGGTAGTGAGGCAGATGGATTACAGAGGAGAGATCTAGAGGATGAAGACAAGGTTCATGCTGTGGTGGGGCTGGGGGAACGTGGAGCAAGCTAGAGATGTCGGGAATGTGTGGAAATGGTGTGCTTCTTAGAAACGTATCTTTGATCTTGGTTCTTTAATTGACCACGCACTCTATGACTGCAAGTTGTTGTTTTGGGATCATCAAGTGAACTTTTGGAAGTTCCGAGCCTGAGCGTGTCATGATTCCACCACCAGCGCTCTAACAGCAATCAGTGAGCTAGAATAATAACAATCCTTGCATTTGATATAGCGCCTTATCAGGTCATTGAGATGTCTCAAAGCACTTCACAGAATATATTGTGAAGTGAATTGACTATATTTTGTGATTTCTGACCATCAATAAAATATACTTTCTGTTTATCAGCTCGTCGAATTGAAGAATGGGGAGACATACAATGGTCACTTGGTCAGTTGTGACAATTGGATGAACATTAACCTGCGGGAAGTTATTTGTACATCCCGGGTAAGTTGTTAACCTCACGCAACATTTGCTCTGCTTAAGAAAAGGGATGTGGGAAAAGGACTTTAATAACTGTTTTAAAAGGGCTGTGGTTTTGCTTCTTCTTTCCCCTCCCCAATCCCCAAGAAATACCCAGCTGTCTCTCACAAGAATAATGGTGAGGGGGAGAGAGAGAGGGGGAAGCGGAGAGCATCGGCGAGGTGGGGGGCGGAGAGAGAGTTTTATAAATTTTTTAAAAGCGTTTTATTCCTGAACCGTTTTAATATCAGTACTCCTGTGTAACCATTGGGTGGCAGCATGTGTCAGCTTGTTCCTTTCAGATAGATATTTGCTGCAAGTGAGAGCCTTTCTGACACATGCACACATTATGTTGGATAAGGCGTGTCCTCGTCCAAGTTTCTCAAATCACTTTCATCTGCAACACCCTTCTACTCATGGATTAACTGAGAGCGAGGTGGGAGCAGGGCTGTGCTGTGCTCCTCATTGCTGTAGAGACAAGTCACTGGGTTTGAACGCTGCCCTTTCATATATTCTTAAATTGGGTGTTCATAGAATCATAGAATATTACAGCACACAAGGAGGCCATTTGGCCCATTGTGCCCGTGCCAGCTCTTTGGAAGAGCTGCCCAATCAGTCCCACTCTCCCTCCCTCTTTCCCCACATCCTTGCAAATTATTCTTTGTTTGATCCAGTAAATGCTTTATGAAGTTCAAGTAAATTTTGAAGGCAGGGGTAGAAGTTGCAAGGCAAAGGGAGAATTATAATAATAATCCTTGCATTTGATATAGCACCTTATCGCATCTTCGAGACATCTCAAAGCGAATTCAGCGTGTAGGGGGTATCATGGCGGAAGTGTCAGAGCAGATTAGGATTATCTTGGAGTCGAATCTCTGGTTCTTTATTCTGGTTTGAAAATAATTCCTGATTTCCTTTACGGTCCATGGACATCGCCTTTACCTGCAACAGATATTCGCAGACTGTTGTCCCCCACTGTTTCTGGAGCTAAACCAACTGTTGTAAGGTGCATGGGGCTGGAGGTTTTGCCCTGATTTTCAGTTTTCAACTAGTCAGGATTCTGATTACTGACAGTGTTTCACTAACAGGGCTGCTAGCCAACGCCTGCAGCCTCCCAACGTTTCTGCTCTTTGAAGATTAAGAAGTGCGCTGCACTGCAGTCCTGACCAGCAGGAGATCAAAGCGAGCGACTGAAATTGGAGAGAAGAGTTTGGGAAGAGGCAGGAACTGAAGCCAACTATTTATGGTTTAGAACTTTGGACAAGTTTCTCTAGCAGGTTCCTGGAATCGGGATAGGAATTTACACGGCGGTCAGTTGTGCTTTAGCAGGGGGAATTTTTTTTAGCTTTTCTTGGACAGTATACAGGGATCCATGTCTTCCTGCCTGAGGTGTACAAGTTGGCTGGGAAAAAGAATTGGGCTCACCTCGCAACTCCTAGGCGAGATGCAGCCTTAGGCAAGTTTCCTTACTTTTGCCCACAAAGTACACAGTCACTAGACTTTACAGTATATTCTGTGAAGCGCTTTGAGACGTCTTCGTGACGTAATAAGGCGCTATATCAAATGTGAGGAATATTATTTATTACTATTTTATCTAATGGTTTCTTTCTCCTCTCTGTCACAGGACGGGGATAAATTCTGGAAAATGCCAGAGTGTTACATCCGAGGGAGCACCATCAAGTACCTCCGAATCCCGGATGAAATCATCGACATGGTGAAAGAGGAAGTGGTGTCAAAGGGCAGAGGGCGCGGCAGCATCCAGCAACAGAAACAGCAGCAACAGAAGGGGCGCGGAGGCGGAGCCGGGCGAGGTATGGAGCCAGAGGGCCAGCTAGGGCCACCTTACTGTTTCCTTGTTATTGTTGTTAAAGTTTCATTCAAAGGTAATGTGTAGAAAAAAAAACAAGCATCAAAATAAATGCATACTGTAAAAAATGGAAACTTCAAAGCTGTTGGGAATTCTGAAGAGCATTGGTTAGAGCGCTCGCCTCACAAGCGAGAGAACCCATGTTCGATTCTTGCCTTAGGCAAGTTTCCTTACTCTACGTGCCTCTGTTTACCTTGCAGTAAGTAAGAACCCCGTTGTGCGCAATTGGCTGCCGCGTTTCGCCCACAAAGTATACAGTATATTCTGTTGAGATGTCTCAACGACGCAATAAGGCGCTATATCAAAGGCAAGAAATATTATTGTGTAATAAGAGAATGAGCAGTGAATTCCCTGCACTTGGGCTAATGTAAAGCGTGTCCCTTATCCGTTGATAGGTGTGTTCGGTGGCCGTGGTCGGGGAATGCCAGGCGCCGGCAGAGGACAGCAAGACAAGAAACCCGGAAAGCTACCCAGCGGCAAAAAGCAGTGAGCGACAAGATGGCGTCTCGTGCCCTCGGGGGTGTCCCGCCTGCTATGATAGCGAGCCACATTCTGACTTGTTCGTTTTCTACACCAATTATTTTGAAGTTTGTAAATGCCGGCACCCAGGTCAGCAAATTGGGATTTAGTGACTTAAGATTTTTTTGTGAATTAAAATGCTACTTTACGAAGTCTTGGACAGCACAGAGAGAATAACTTGGATTTAATAACCATTCGGACGGACGTTTTCTTCTCTTGAGTCGATATCCTTTTGACTTAAGTATCTTTTTCGAGTCGCTAACATGTGGTTTGCAGAGCTACAGATCAGGAGGAGTGAAGTCAGTGCAAGTGGGAATGTTTGAAGCTGTTTAACTTGAATTGGGTGTTAAGAGAGAAATAGAGCTGAGTGGGAGTACAGTTGTATGTCTATCACCCGTTTCCTTTTCAAAAAACATATCAGGCCAGACAATGGATGTTTTCAGCCCTTCGCAGAGAGCGTAAGTTCAGGTTTATGTTGGTCACATAGGCAGGTATCAGTTTAAAATCCCAGCTCAATTGTCCTTGTGTGAAAGGCTAAAGGCTCTACTTAAACAAGCTGAAACAAGTGTCGTACATGGGAAACGGTTCCCAAGTAGAAGGGCGACTGTGGTTGTCTGTGGGATCATCCATGCCTCCATTCATTTCCCCATCGCTGTTAAATTTGTAGTTTTTGCTCAGTGAATGCTCCCGCAGATGTGATATGAAATGGCCAGATATTACGTCTGAGTATCAATGCTATCTTTTCCCATTTCACAGAAGCCTTCTCTCAAATACACCTGATAAGTTCTTTCAGACTGACTAAAGCAGAAGCCTTCATTGAAATAAAAGTCTTTTTTTTAACCAAAAAAAGTTAAAAATTTATGATGCTGTGAGTGAAAGCTCAGTTCCCGTGTTGCATCGTATATGCTTTTCTGTGTCAGCCTGGAGCGGTGGGAGCACTATCGCTTCTGAGTCAGAAGGCCGGGATTCAAGTCCCCATATCGGCACTTGGAATCACATAGTCTAAGCTGACTAGCTCACATAGTCCAATGCAACGCTGGGGGTGGGGGGGATGTTGTGTTGTCAGAGGTGCCGTCCTTTGGATAAGATGTCAACGAAGGTCCCATCTGCCTATTCAGATAGAAGTTGAAGATCATATGGCACTATTCAAAAAGAGAAGGGAGTTTCTCCCAGTGTCTTGGCCGACAATCCCCCAAATAAAATTGTTCACTCACTCCATGGCTGCTTGTGGGACACTGCTGTGAGCAACTAGCTGCCGCGTTTCACTCACTAAATACACAGTCTTTGTGTATTTACACAAAATACACAAAGCGCTTCACAGGATACACTTTACAGTATATCCTGTGAAGCCCTTTGAGACATCTCAATGACGTGATCAGGCAAGGATTATTATGAGGATTATTATCAAATGCAAAGATGATTATTTTGGGAAGTTTAAGGCAATTCTGTTTCACATTAGCTTTTGTTGCTTTTGAGTTAAATTAGAGATTTGGGAAATGGAGTTAAAAAGCTTGTGTGTGTTTTACAGCCTGACATGACCTGAATTAAAAGAAAACAAATGTTTTTTTTAAAAAAAAGTCTGACTGATGCATATTGAGCTTCTAGAGTTTGGATGAAAATCCACTTGGGAGTTTTGATCTACAGAAATTATGTGTTTATCAAAAAAAAGGTTCTTTTCCTCTTCCCCCCCCCCAAAAAAAAACCCTTAAAATTACCGAGAGTATGAATAGTCAAACCACTTGTGGGAAATAGTATCTGTGGCTGTGGTGCCGTTGAATTGTGAAACGAACGTTGACTCTAGAGAGCATTTGATTCGTGATGAATCTGGCCCACCGGGAGACAAGTGCGTGGCTGACAAACTGGAATTCGGTTGCTGTTGATGCCGGAACTAGAAAGATTTTCTCTCTTGGATAGTTTTCTTAAAGACTGTTGCTTCTCCTTCTCTCAGGTGTCTTACACACAGTTCACAAATTCATTCTGGAAAGCAGCTTATTGATAAATCTGGACTTTGGGTGAGCCACTACAACCCCTAGGGATAATCACAGGTTTAGTGTAGTGTATGTGGGTGTGATCTGCTGACATTCTGGAGACTGAAAGGTGTGTGGAATTTTCAAAGGGGTGTGATGCCTTCAGCAGCTGGGAGTTACCACACAAATGTTCCAAGGTTCCTTCAATAAAAACAACCTTGTTGTTCTCGGACCTGACCGAGACTCGCATTTCCTGTTTGATCAGATTGTGCAATCCGCTGGCGTCGAGTTTAAAAGTGCTACCACTTAGCAGTTCCATTCATCTACAAACCTGTGTAGGGCTTCAGAGGGCTTGAATAGACCATATTCAAAAGTGGGAATATTTTCATGACTGACTGATCGTTTTGTACATTGTGTGGGCAATAGAGATTAATTGTCTGGTTTCTGACTTCAGCTTGAAGGAACCTTACTTATCCTTTAGAAATAGTTTGAGCAGTTGATCCCTTCTCTCTGTGCACACCCATACTCGCACTGAGCCGAGAAGTGGATAAGGGTGGAATTTTGAGAGCAAGTTCCTGCAAACTGCTCTTGTGCAATTGCTAGGGATAAGCTTCAGTGCTGTAGAGGCTTGGCACAGAATGCAAGAGAGAAAGCACTATGTGGAGTTGGCACACCTTTAACCTGAAGCAGCAACAATATACACATTTTTTTAAAAATGATTTTTTTTACTTGTTGAGCGCAACAGTAAAAATCTGGCACAAGACGGTACTAAGAAAAAATCCTTGCATTTGATATAGCGCCTTATCACGTCTTGGAGACGTCTCAAAGCAATTCACAGAATATACTGAAAAGTGAATTGCCTGTATAGTTTGCGGGTGAAATGCGACAGCCATTTGCCCACAGCAGCGTTCCAGTGTAGTGAGTGATCAGTTGGGGAATCAAACCTAAGTCCTCTCGCTTGCGAGGTGAGTGCTCTAATCACCTAGGTACATCTATCTAGAATCGTTAATCCAAGTAGCACATCTAGAGTTTTCATGTGTGAGGGCATGATTTCCCACAGCGGGTCTGAGATAACCATTTATTTAACAAAATGTTGCGAGCAGCTCGTGGTTAATACTCGCTTATCGTTTCATCTGCACCAGAAAAATCGGTTTCAGATTCTACATGTGGAAAACATGTTGCAGTCCTGAAATCAAAAAATCTGCCATTTCTGTGGATACATTTTATTTTTATTAGTATTTCTCTCCTTTCTCATTTTAAGCGCTCTGGGACACTGCCCTGTGCGAGAGATGCTATCTAAAGATGGACCCATCTTTTGCCCATCTACCTCACCCCAGTTCTCTCCCAATTTGTCAGCCTGGCACAGTGGATAGCGCTCTTGCTTCTGAGTCAGAAGATTGTGGGTTCAAAATCCACATCGGGACCTGGAATCACGTTGTTTAAGCTGACACTCTGTCTATATCAAATGTAAGGATTATTATTTATATTAATGTGGTTCTGAATCCACACAATAGGAGGCACCAGTCTGGAGGGAACAAACCTTTTATTTTTTAAAATATAAATCTCCATTTGGACAGTTTAATTTTCAGAAAATTCCTCTTCAGTTCTAAAATCGAGTTACTAAAATAAAGAAAAAGAAAATAACAGCCTTTAATTTAAAAAAAAACTTACATTTGGATTTCCAGTCTCCTATACATAAAAATTTACAGCACAAAAGGAGACAAGTTAGAAGCAGTGTAACCCAATGGAGCGATAATGGGTTGGCAATGATTTTTCTCTCAGGATGAGCAATATATGTGTAATTCCATCACTGTCTGACTGACCTTGAGACATGCAACGCACATCCCACCCAGATTATTTTGTGATCTAAAGCCAATATATAATATTGTGTTTTATGTTTGGAGTTAATGTATAATCCCAAGTTTACCGAAGGAGTGAAATGTCCTTGTGGACTTCGAATCATATTTTTCTATGAGGAGGCTTGCCCTGCAAGGGAATGCCCCAGAGCCATAAGATTGAACGATTTATCTCAAAATTTATTGACTGTTGCCTTTTCACCTGGTAGAAGCACAGAGTTTATCTCGAGTGTGTGGGCACGGAAGCACAACACTGTGAACCATTCCCGGCAAAGCTTCGTATAGACTACGTACTTGTGGTTTTCTTTGACGTTCCTGCTCATGACTGGAGCGAATCAATTCCCCGCATTTTCTGCCTACATCTGTAGTTCAGTTCTTTATTTTTCTTTAAAAAAAAGAGGAACTACTCATTTCAAAATGTATGTTTTGTAATAGAATATATAAACCCCCAGCTGTGGTGTTCAACCTAATCTATTTAATTTCCCAAATTGACCTACAATCGCTGATTGACAAACACCGATTCCAGTTCCACTTTTTAACGCAACTAATCCATCTTGCAAATAATTTTCACGAAAGGCTATTAATTATTGTTTATTGTCCTAAATTGTGTGGCAACATTCTCATTCGTGCAATGATGTCGGCCCCACCCCAACACTTAAAGAATGTTGCAATCGTCGTCAAGAAGTGGGGGGCGGTTTGGGAGGCGATTGGAAAAGAGTAGCTGAGTGTCTCTGGGGTGGGGTGAGGTGGGGTTGGAAAAAACACACATGAAGCCTGGGTACCAATTTCGAGTTGACCTGCCGAAAAGTGTATGTAGCGGCTTGGCTCAGTTAGTAATTCTCTTGCCTCTCGGTTAGACGGTTGTTGGTTCAAGCTCCACATCAAGGACTTTGAACTCAGTGTAAGGCTGGCACTCCAGTAGCTGAGGGGCGGGGGGGTGGGGGTGCTGTATTGTCAGAGGTGTGAAACGGAGGTCCTGCCTGTTAGTTCAGGTAAATAGGGAAAAAAAAGTTTCTTCCACTGTGTTGGCCAAATGAACCATTCACCTCCTGACTCTGGGATTTTGCTGTGTGCAAATTGGTTGTCACATTCACCCAGAAATAGCCATTCCATCTCATCCTAATTACTGTAAAGTGCTTTGAGACATTTTGACGATATAAATGCTGTATTAAATGCGACCCTGCGGACATGCTGTCGGCGGTTAATGTCTTCCTGTCTTCAGGGTAGACGTACGGACTTTTTTGACTGGAGCCAAGATGATGTGAGGCTTTGCTCGTCAGCAGTACCATGAGTTTGTGTGTGAGAGGTTGTGAGGCAAGCAGTTTATGATCAGCCAGGGAGTGGAGAGCATCTGCGAAAACAACTACTCGTGAGGAATCATATCAGCATAATTGTTCCGGTTGTAATCTAATCTTACATTCCACTCCAACACCTCCCCACCCCCACCACACACACACACACACACACACACACTTACCTTTTTTTTAATGCCTCCTTTCTCGCACAGCCAAGTGAGACAGAAGGTTGCCAAGAAACATAAAACATCACTGCAGTGTGGGCTGTGAGCCCTTTGGACGGAGGCTGATAATTTCAGTGTAGGGTTTATGACCTAATCTCACCACCCACGGCGAGCTGCTGTAGGGGGCGAGTGTCACCTTTGAATATTAAATGCCTCTCACACGCTGAGAAGGAGTAATGCAAACGCAGCTTAGAAAACACAAACATACTCTTATCATTGTTAAACATTCTACACTTTAAAGCTGCGTAGGATAAAAAGCACTTGGGGTGGGAGCTAACATGAATGTCATGGCAAATATAGAGCCTGATTAGGTCGGTGGGGAGGGGGGGGCGAGCGTGCTCATAGACATCCAGAAGGGAGGTGTCAATTGAAATGCTCCAAAGGCTCCCTATGCGTCTGTACTTCCTGTGTATGAATGGGTTTTACAACCCTGTTATGACAGTGCTTGTGACGTGTTCATTAGCCCTGCTCCATTTATCTAGGTTTGCGTCAGATGATGTCAGGGTCTCCACGGCAA